GATTGGATGCGGAAGGCGGAGGGCGGAAGGAAGGAAGGACTTTGTTCTCCCTCCCCCGTTTTTTCCTCCTGCGGTCCTCCGGTCCTCCGGGAGTATTGTATCATTCATTCATGATTGGTTAGTTGGAGGAGGGAGGGATGAGGGATGGATGGATGGATGGATGGATGGAGTGATTTGGTTGGAGTGATTTGGTTGGTTGGTTGGTTGGTTGGTTGGTTGGTTGATGTTGAGGGAGGGGGGGGGATATGGAAGGGAAAAACAAAACAAATCAAATCAAATCAAAGGCTGGCGGCCACTACCATCGAGACTGGCTGACTGACTGACTAGATGGGTGGGTGAGTGACATACATTGACCTCTTTTTTTTTTTCTCTTTGTGGTGAGCGGAACTGATGATAGGAGGGGAGCTAGCTAGCTCCCTTTCTTTCTTTCTTTCTTTCTTTCTTGTTTTCCTTCTTCAGGTACAAAGAAGCCAGCGGCTCAATTACCGACCAGAGGAAGCGGAGGATACGACACACGCACAACTCGTTCACAATGCCATTGTTCTTGCGGTCCCCTCCGTTCTCTTCTTCTTCTGTTTCCTCCCGCCTAGCCTCGATTTGAAGTACGTACGAGGGCGATATGATCCTGTTCCGTGTTCCAGCTAAGGAATGTTGTGGTGCGATTCTGTTCCAGCGAAGACAAGCTGTACTCCGTAGACGATCCGCCGCCCCCGGACAGAGAACAAGACGTGATCAGGCCGTATATAGAGGGTGTGGAGATGCTGGCTGCTATGTCGATACTGCAGAGAAACGAAACACAACAATACAGAACCAACACCAACACTAACACCAACAAAACCGAGGACGATACCCAACAGCAGACCAGCAGAAGGAAGCCGAGCAATGTCGCTTCCAGCACGCACCCCGGCACCCCCAACACCCCCTCCACCCCCACCACCGGCGGCGGCAGCTCCTGCTGCTGCTGCTGCTGCTGACGAGCTCGCAACGCTCCAACAGAGAAAAGCGGCGCAGGACCTCGCTATCGAGCGAGCTCTCAGCATCGCACGCGTGAGGCTTGATCTGGAGATGGGAGAGGCTCAGCTGAGAGCTCTACGCAACCAGGAGGGAGAAAGAGAGAGAGAGCGCGGAAGACGTGCCACCCAGCAGGAGGAGGAGCAGGAGGTGGCAGCTGAAGCTGAAGATCAACAAGCGGGATATGGACATATCCCTGTGAGGTATTTGCCTGTGGCTGCTGAAGCTCAAGGAGACGAAGTGGCTGAAGCAGAAACGGGAGCTGAAGCAGAAGCAGAAGATGATCTGTATGATGCTGATGATGAAGAAGCAGAAGCAGAAGCAGAAGCAGAAGAACAACAACAACAGGAAGAAGAGGTAGCCGGAGTCCTCTTGCGCCAAGAAGCGAGAGCTACTGCTACGGCTGCTGCTATCCTCGTCCGTGCTACTGACGAAGCAGGAGATATCCTTGGACTATACTCGCATCGGATATAGACATGTTCCCATGGCTGCTGAAGCTGACATTGAAGCAGCAGAAGAAGAACACAGCTTCCCCTCCGACGAGGCATCCTCCGATCGCTTCGAGGACGCTCTCGAAGAACAAGAACAAGAACAAGAAGAAGAAGGATACGACGTCGAAGCTGCGTTCCGTGCCTCCCAGATCGGAGGAGAAGCTGCCCTCCTCCGCGACGAGGCAGTCGAGCGCCTCGAGGCCGCCGCCCTCGAAGCCGCCGCCCTCGAAGCCGAGGAGCGAGCCCAGAACGCGCAGCTCGAAGACCAGATCCGGGAGGTCCAGGACTGGTTGACGATCGAGGACGCCCTCGAAGCCGAGGAGCGAGTCCAGGACGCGCAGGACATCCTGGACTGGTTGAGGATGCAGGAGGAGCGGTACGCGGCGGCGGCGGCTGCTGTCGAAGCCGAGATGGCCGCGATGATTGAGGATCTGCGCGTGCACGACCACCGCCGAGGCGAGTGAGGGCGCTTGGCATGCTGGAGGAGCTTGCCGCGTGGGTCCGGCAGCCGGTGGAAAGATGCGGGTGAGCAGGAGTAATTAGTTGCAGCTGAGACGACGAGAGAGCACTCGCTGTTGTTGAGGGGTCAAGTGGTCCGAACCAGCCAGCCTCCCTCTCTCTACCTCTGCCCCCGACTCCACCCTCCCCTCCTCTGTAACAATAGGATCGTATGGCTGAGAACATAGAATGCATTGCTTTTTGAGAAAAATTACTCACCAACCCAGCGTTATCGTGCAGGAATCCGTGAGACCCCTACTAATTTGATGATGTCTGAGTTGTATAAATAGGTAACGGCAGAACTTGATGACAACAGCACTCAACTCCAAGATGCTTGATGTGATGCAGCAGACTTTGCGCATTGGCGTCAAACAAAGCCCAGCCCCGCGATTCGGATCGGGTTGTAGAAACAAAAACGCCAGAAACCTCCACGGAACCAGTAAACCAGAGGCGAAGACACCAACGAAGTACAGAAACGAACATGTATGCTCTCTATGCAGCTGGTGTGCACCTGACAAGCCCCAGCTCCACACCCACGACCGCCGACCCTACTATATGTACAACGAGGAAATAGAAGAAGAATCGACCGAATCTCAATCCAACGTATGTATCGTGACATCTCCGCATACACCAGCAAATCATAACTCCAGCCCATCATCCCCTCAGTTGCACGTAGCCTCCAACGCAGCTGTTAAAGGCACAACCCTCAAACTCCTCCCCCGTTTTAGACCATCCGCAGGCGGGCTATGTAACGTAATCGACAGACCCTCCACCCACTTCCGGAACACACTCTTCATATCCTTAGGTACACCTTCCAGCACAACCGTCGTAACAGGCACAAACGGACGGTCCTCCATTCCTGCGGCAAGGATACCGTATTCCTGGGCGAACATGAGGGCGTTCTGGAAGGCCGAGTACTGGGACTGGGATTTGGAGCCGACGATAACGTAAATCTCGAAGAAGGCATCTAAGACGTAGATCTTCGAGGCGTTGAGGTCAGTCTGGCAGAATGGACTAAGTTCAACAATCTGGGCGCGGTTAGTAAGCGTAAATTGCGCATAGGTATGCAGTTTCACCTGTTCTCTAGCTGTTGAGTCCGCGACAAACAGCCGGCCACAGTACTTGTTGTAATTTGGCTTCATTCTCCAATGGTCCGCCGACTTGGGAATTGTGATGCCACTACCGAAGATCTGCAGGAAGGTTGCAGGCTCACTCCCATCTTCGACCTCTTCAATTTCGCCCGTAAGACCGAAGTTCATGCCGATAAGTCTAGCACAACTAAGTTCGTCAACCCCGCTACCCTTGCCCTTCCACAAGTAGGCCTTGCCAGAATTCGCAGAGATGAGGTAAGGGAACCCTGAGCACAAGCTGGCAGGGGAAAAATCAACCTCATCAAAGGCGATTTGACCGAAATGCTTTCTGCCGCAAAGGATGTGAGGTGCAAGCGAGTCGTACTTGTTCGAAGACCCTCTCCTAATGATGATAATTCCATCCAACGCATGGAAGAACTCTGGAGGCTCTCTGCCTTGCTTAATCCTGATCAGCTTTCCCCCCGCACTCTTTGCCTCTCTTTGAGCAAATATCTCCATATTATCGGCCATCGCGTGTGGGACATCATCTCCTACCCAATAATATGCCTCTGTGACGGTTTTCCCTGAAGCGTTGCTGAAACTATGAGTACAGAGATAAAGGTTTCCTTCGAATAGAATTCTCTCTTGGTGATTAGAAACTTCCTGCTTCTTGCCATCATTCGAGAATTGGTAGAGAGCAGACCGCAAGGTCTTGACGCTGTCGCCACAGTCGGGGCGCGAGGACAGGATAGTCACAGTGTCGGCGGTGAACTTGGCTGATGGTCTGTCTCCCCCGAAGAATTCACCAAGTAATTGAGAAGCCTCAGAAGCTTGTGGCACTGAAAGGTCAAGCGACTTTTTTGATGACAAGCCGGGTGATCTAGGTGCATCACTGATTGGTGGAGATAGTGCACTTTTGGTAGGCGGCGTCGGAAGTGGACGAGCTTTGGGCGCCAAAGTTTTGATCTCAAGCCCGAGTCCGTCTGATTCCGTCTCCTTCACTGGACTGGGAGAGCGCAAACCAGCACTGACCATTGCAGCCTTCTCATCTTCGTGAGTCGGAAGCTTGATAGGGGATCGGGCACGAGGGGGTGTTTCAACGGAAGTTGCAGACGGGCGATCCCAGAGCGAAGTGGCATTTTTAACTGACACAACAGGCTCGCGACTGATGTTTTCAACAGCAGGAAGTGGTTGAGAAGCCGAAAACTCTAGCTGACTCGGAGGCGAAGCTTGTTGGGTTTGTTCAACTGGCGTGGGTTTACTTGGTGACAATGGCAAATGTCTTAGCTTGGCAGTCTCCGGTGATTCGGTAGGAGTTGAGATGGGTGATGGCTCGGAACGGTTTGATAATGAGGGCGATTTAACAGGAGTGTTCGGTTTAGGTTTTAGAAATGGTGCTTGCTTTATTTCAGGTTCCGGTTCTTTAGGCTTCGGTTCTTCGGGCTTCACAGGAATCTCGGGGAGATTAGCTTTCTTCGGTGACGGCGGCTTGGGGGGGTCCAACTGCAAATCTGGCGTGCTATCCTTGTTTGCGACATCTTGAAGAAATTGTGATCGCCTCTTCATGTCAATCTTGCGGGGTGATGACGGTTGTGATACATGGTTCTCTTCGGCCTTTGTTGGAGATTGTGGGAAACGATCGAGCACCTTGCTCGGTGACCGAACGTGCCGGGGTGATGCTGATATGGGACTTTCGACCTTTGCTGGAGATAGCGGAAAGCGGTCCAGAACTTTGCTAGGGGACCGGACACGCACAGGCGATTGCTGTGCTACTTGAGTCTCATCGGCCTTAGCTGAGAATTGGGGAAAGCGATCCAGAACTTTACTCGGGGATTTAGTATGGCCAGAGGTCTTCACCGGAGAGTGAACTCGCTCCAAAATCTGCGGCGTTGTATCGACCTCAAGTGGTGGCGGCTTCTTGGGCATTTCCTGCTCGGCAACCACTGGCTTTTCCACTGAATTTTGGGATTCTGTTTTGGGGACGACAGATTCAAGCGCTGTCGTCGGGGCCTTTCTTCGAGGGCCGCGAGCACGCCCCTTTGTCATGTGAGTGAGCTGTGGACCGGGCTCTGGAGTAGAAGCTATGCGTTGGGACAGTGCCGGACTAGACGATCGAGAACCTCCACTAGCCACGGCGGGTGGCCCTCGTGCTAACAATCCCGCAAGACCAGGATTCAATCGACCAGCAAGCTTACCAGCGGGTGTATCCTTAGATTGGAGCTGGCCTGGCGCACTTGCTTCCTTCACGAAACTCGGCTTTGGTGATTCAGGAGCTGCTCGCGTCCTAGAAGGGGAATCTGGGCCAATGGATGCCGCTTCAGAAACAATAGAGTCAGATCTGCCTAAAGCCTTACGCTTCGCTAGAGCCTCTGGTATAGGAGCTTCTTGACTCCCACCGCTTGTGGATCTTGTGACCCCCTTTCCTTCAACCTGTGCTTTCTTGAAGTCCTCCTTCTTCTTCAAAATAGCATCCTTAAACTCGTCAACACGCTCAGTCTTCTTGGGCCCACCAGTCAAAGTTAAGGCAGCCTTGCCACGAGTGATATTGTCCTTGAACTCGTCAGGCGCGACAAAGTTCTGAGTCTTTGTAGGTCGAAGCTGACCAAACACGTTCTTGAACTCAGGCTCGGTCGGCCCACCGTTATCGATTGGCTCAGGACGAGACTTGAGACTCGCTCGAAAATCCTTCTTTGGAGGTGTCTCAGGCTTGGCCTTACCAGTTGCAGGCGATGATCTTGATGCAGTGTCGAGCGAGTAGTTAGTCTTCGGAGAGTCTTTGGTTTCCGGCGAAGTGGTGCCAGGTTTGGTATCCGATACCGCACCGGAAGAAAGTCCCTTAGAAGGGCCGCCAGTAAGCAGTGATTTGGTTGCATTTCCAGGGGTTGGAGATCTCATCAATCCGCCAATACTGACTTCATGCTTCGGAGGACCAGTTGAGGGGCTGCGACCTTGATCAACGCTGCCCTTGTGCTTAGCCTTGTTGAGCTCTGTCATCCAAGAAGGTTGTTGAGATGGTGGCGCAGCTTTAGGCTTGGGAGAATCAGGCTTCTTCAGCGCACTCTCAAGCCAACTCGACTTCGTAGGGCTCCATCTCCTCTGCTCCATGATTTTCGTTGGGCTTGAAGGCGGGGTCACATCTCGTCTAGTAGGTGTTTCTGCGTCGACATTCTGGCTTGCTCGGACTCCGAGAGGAGTTTGTGTTCGAGATGCTAGGATTGTAGGTTTAGCAAAGCTATCTTTGTTCGTAGATGTTGTCATACTGCTCCTCGTCGAACTCGACGTGCCCGGGCGGTCCTGGGTGAGTGTAGCGTTGCTGTGGCTTGAAGATGGCCTAGACTTGGGGGGTGGAGATGGTTCTCGGCTCCGACTGCTAGATTTGGACTCTCGTGCCGTTGCATTGACAATGTTACCTAGAGAGGAGCCAGTGGTGGGATCAACACTGCTGCGATTACTGGCCATTGAATTGCCTCTGGTGAGCCCCGAAGGTGACTGAACGCTCCATCTCTTGTTCACACTGTCCGATCTCTTCATCATAGCACTTTGTACAAATCCTCCCATGCCCTTCGTAGGAGATGGCGACCGATCGAGTCTGTCCGGGGAAATTCGGCCTTGTGTTGGTGACATTGCGAAACCACGCGCGTCAGATTTGGAGTCGCCTGGCGGATCCAGTCTCTGAGCTGAAGTCAGTGGCATCGGGGACCCCATACCTGAAGGAAGCTTGGGGCTTGCTTGGTACGAGGCTCTTGAACCACTGCCATACGATATGCTGCTCCTAGAAGGCGATAATGATCTCTCCACCGGCTCCTCTAACTCCTTGTCTGGCTCAGAAGGTCGTGACATGCCAGGCATCTGTACCCGCGAGGAGTTCGATCCGTGATCCGACCTTTCCTCGTCTTCCACCTGATTCCGTCTGTATGCTGGTGAACTGAGTCCCCGATCTGCGGTTTGGCGAAACCAACCGGGGTCTTTCGAGGCAAGGGATTGTGCAAATTGCTCTCTCGAAGGCGCTGCGTCTGCCGTTGGGGATATCTCGGGTGCAGGCGTAGCTCGAGGAGATCGTGCGGCGTTTTCTGTCGCGACCATTGATAGCGGGCGGCTTTGCACGCGATCAGGAGATTGTGAATTTGGCCGTCGTTGCCAAGTTAGGGGCGAATCTGAATTTCGCGAGGGCATGGCACTCGAGGGCGAAGTTATTACGGGGGCGTTTCGCTTGAATTCGGGCTCGGGAAAGGCATCCAAGGGAGACTTATTTTCTTTGGCGGGGGATGTCGAGTCAACCAACCGATCCATCGCGTCGTCGACTCCCATCTCCATCTCGCGTAGGGGCTCCGAATCAATTTTCGCCTCGATTTTCGGGGATTGGGGTCGGGATTGGGTTTGGGACAGAGCACTTATGGACACTACCGAGGCTCGAGAAGCTACGGGCGTGTTGGCAGGAGAGGATTTCGTAGGAGAAATAGATCTGGCGCGTTCTGAAAGTCTGGTTGTCAGCCATGTACCTATCTGTCACACAGCACCATCGACCATCTGCATGATTCGAATTCGGATTCATTACCAGCCCGTCGTGCCTGTCGCTCTGCTCGGCCCTGCAGAATCTCTTCTTCCAGCTTCCTAGTGCGCTCTTCGTCCTCCTGGTCTCTCCTGTCGCCCATTTCCTTGATGCGCTGCAGAAAATCGTTGACGTCCTCCGAGCCGTCGGGGGCAGGCTGATCGGACATATTGGCAGTCTTGTCTTGTCTGGCAGGATCGTGTTTACACAAGGATTACATCCGCAACCATGTTCGAGCGCGGGACAAGTCACAATCAATCAATGCGTCCGCGGGGTCTGGAAAGGAGTGAGTTATTGGAATGGGGAGGTCAGGTTCCACTAGTACGGGCGAGTAGGTAAAGGTAGTGAGTGCACTGGGCTTTGGTCATGCAGGCGGGAGAAGCTTTCGCTTGGGGGGCAATCTTCAAGGAATTTCCGTACTTATGCTTATGTCATGACCTTCGAGCTTACCGCGACGTAGCTCCGTATTTCTGGAGGGATGTACGGAGATTTGGACATTATGCTCAGTCCCAGAATCTATTTCGTATAGGCAAGTATGGATTCGGATATCGTGTGGCCATTATCCTCCCCTGATCTTTCTCTGAGTCTAAGTATCCCATCTCGTCTTTTGTCTCCGTATGTGGTACCGTGTCTGAGCCTGAGTAGGTGGCCAAGCCAAGGTCCCACTAGATTAAGTAGGACGCGGCTCCCGGAGGCTGTCAACCACTAGTAAATCCAAAGCGACGTTCCCTTGAGAAGAGGAATCAAAACAAACAAATGCGATGCTGCAGCTCAGTAAAGAAACAGTCTCGCTTTGGCATCCTCGACCACCCATTCCAAACCTTCTTGAAGATTGGTACCGGTGATCGCGCTGCACCGAAGGATGTGCCATTGGTGAGTTTTGATAGCATTGAGCTGGAGCCCCTGAATTCGGTTAGCGGCTTGCCTCTCAACGACACATCATGACGGACCTCCTGGATCTCTGCCTCACTCATACACCCATTCACGTCTGTTTTATTCGCAAACACCAGCAAACTTGCCCCAGAGAGCCTCTGTAGCTAGAATAAGCAGCATGCTTTATGAACGACCAGGGGATTAAACCTCTTCTTGCAGCAGGCCATGAAGCTCTTCATGACAGTCCTCGATCCGCAAACGATCAGTCGCATCCACCACCCATATTAGGGCATCAGTCTTCTCAAAATAGTTGCGCCAATATGATCTGAGAGTTTTCTGCCCACCGACATCCCCTGTGTGTATCAGCAGAGCCAGTACCACAGAGTCTTGGGCTACCCACAGATGTTGAGCTTGTAGCTTGTGGGAAGATGGTCAGCATGGCGAATATCACTGGCAATCGAACCCGTACCCCTTGTAATCAATGGTCTTGATAATGAAGCCTAGTGTAGGACTGACGGTGTTGACATCCTCGTTCATAATCCTTTTGACAATGGTTGTCTTGCCGGCATTGTCAAGGCCCCTGGAAGACGATCAGCAAACTGTTTGAAAAGCGGCGCATTGGAATTTACAGCATCAGAATCCTCATCTCCTTGTCCTTCAATCTTGCCTTGCGTAAAATAGACAGCATTCTGTTTTTTCCAAAAATTTGTGTTGTGGAAAGCTGCTCAAAAGGAAGGCAATCGGCTGGGGAGATCCCATCGAAAAGGTTCATGGCGGTATCACGTGATACCACATCCTGCAAATACCTGCCTTCCAATTTGCAAGCAGTACTGCGCCGACATTCAGAATACAGTGGTTCTTGATACGAATATAACCCCGTACTTCTTGCTCTATTTTGATGGCGGTACCGCTAGGCCTGCCTTGCGGGTGCGCCTGCCAGTTTGGGATACAGTAAAGCAACGCACCAGACCAGATTAGTTTGAACTTACAGCCGTCTCCCCCTTGCAACCCATTTTTCATTCATCTTCTCTTCGCTTTCCTCCTGCTTGGAGTGATTGATTGTGCTTCGAATCCTTTGTCAACCTTACTCGCCCTTCAGCCGCATCGGCATTGACTACCAAGAAACGATTCGAGCATAGAAGTCTGTGCTACGGTGTTCGGCAACTTTCTCACTGATTCTATTGAGAAGGTTCATCTGGATCGTCGGGAAGTCCAGCGTTGGAGGCTTTGAGATTATATGGGCGTATTCACCAGGCCATCACCCAAGGAGTATCAAGGCACTATCTCCTCGCTCCCTCGCTCATCTATGACATCAATCGTTGGAACTAGTATTGTGATCGTACCATTGTTCTTATTGTCTCTACTAGAATTGCCCTGTGTTTCTGTTGGGGCTCAGTGACTCTGGTCTCGCTTCGCTTCGCCTCGACACACATTCATTCACTGCTGTTGGACCCACTCCCGCCGACGTAAATAAAGGGCTTCATATTGTCACCGAGAAAAGAGGGAGGCTGGTAACGAAGCGAATCCCACAGCTGATGAGATTTCCTATAAATCTGAGGCAAGCCCTCAAAGTCTCCTCCTTTCCTCTTCTCATCCTTCATCGTTCAGCAAATTTGTTTCACCACAACTTCTACACACTGTTTGTATCTTCGATCGATACAACGACGTCGCAATCATGAGAACCATCGAGCTGAAGGCCGACAACGGCGACGTTCAATTCGAACCGCTTTACCCTATGTGAGTTTTTATATATCGCCACTTTGCTTCCGTCCCTTTCCTTTCCCTTCCTGTCCCTTCCTGTCCCTTCCTTCCCTCACTTCCTGGTGTTCAAGTGCCGTTGGCTAATGCACCCACAGGACCGCAGATCAAGAGGAGGATCACGAGAAGGTTCTCGCCGCATTCGACATACTGACTGCGATGAGCAGCCACCGTAGTCTCAGTAATTCCATGTGGTCTGACGAAAACTACAAGGCGCGCATGGAGTTGAAGAAGAAGGCCACTCCGTGTTACAAGCCGACTCGGCTGACCGCTTTCAGGCTTGGTTCTGCCAAAGTCTCTGCCTCTTCTTCCTCTTTGATGTCCCACCAACAACAAGCCGGATACATTCCACCACATCTTCGTCCTGCAGTCCAGCCAACAAGCTCTCCTACTCCGACTCCGACTCCGACTCCTACTTCACCTCTCCGCTTGAGTGCTGCTGCTGCGGCTTTCGTCCCTCGGTCCCCGCCATCTTTCCCTCTACAAGGAACTGCAGCCCCTCGCCTGAGCGCTACAGCCACAGCCTTTTCTCCACAATCACCTTCTCAACCTCCACCAAGTCCACCTTGTCTGAGCGCTGCAGCTTCAGCATTCACCCCTCTCAGCCCTGCTGCCTTCGTCCCATCTACATCATCGACAACCACAAAAACCCAACCACCTACAACTGGTTACGTTCTGCCGCACTTGCGCCGCCGTCCTGACACCACTACTCTTTGCGCTAAATCTGCTACAGATAAGCCTGCTGAAGTGGCCGTCAAGGAGACAAAGATTGTGGCCCAGATCGAACCTCACCTTCAAGCACCCCGAGTTGGATCTGAGAAGTTTGCCGTCGTCGTTGAACCCGCTCCTTACGTCCTCCCACATCTTCGCCGCGCGGGAAACGCCACAGCTCTGCAAACAAGTCCTGAGAAGCCTGCTGAGACAACAGTCAGTCAGCCAACTGACACAGAAAATATGGCACCCATCCAGTCGATTCCCCCTCACCTGCGCAGCGCAAACTATATCTCTCCTCATCCTCAAGGAGCCAGTCAATTGCAGTATCTTCCTCCTCATCTTCGCGGCGCCGCTCAGGCAAGTCATTTTCTTCCTCCTCTCCCAAATTCTTGCCTCTCGGCTCCCCTTCTCTCCTTGAAGAGTGAAAAAATATATTAACTGTTTGATAGTCCACAATACCTTTCCAAGCTACACCGTTCCAAGCTACACCCTCTGAAGCTACACCCGCACATGTTTTCGAGCCTGCTGCACTCCCAAACAACGCCTTTATTTCTGTCACATCTGCTACTCCTGACAAACCTGCTGCTACATCCCCCGAGGACACGAAGAAGGATGAATTCATGGAGTGGATAAGCAAGAAGAATGCGCTGCCCAAGATTGTGACTAAGATCGAGAGAGCTCCTTCCGTGGTCGCAGTCAAGACCCAAGAAATGCCTTCCTACCAAGTCCAGCCTCCAGCTGCAGAGTACCAAAAGCCTGCTGATAGTTCGGCTTTGAAGGATGTCTCTGCCGAGGTTAAGATATCGCGGAGCCAAGAGCGCGAAGCTGCAGAGGTTGCTGCGTTCTTGGATCATATTTCAAAGGGTAATAAGCTCAAGAATTACGGCGGACCGAAGCAACTTCACAACATGTCCGCTACGCCCAACAACCCCTTTGCGAAGGAAAAGTTCCACCTGAAGCAGAATTCTATCCAGAAATTCCAAGAATCCTTGGAGGCCGGTGCGACTGCTCCCACTTCGGGCAAGAAGTGGACCAACGCTGCCGTTGTAAATGCGCAACAAGTTCAGCCAATTGTCAACTCCTTCGAGGCTCCTATCACTCAAAACGCCGCTTCCGCTTTTCAGACCAGACCAGTAGGGTTGGCTGAGAACAAGAAGCCCGTGGATCAAATTGGTCAAATGGGTCCACAGGCTATCTTTAACCCCAACAGCAAGGCTCCCAACGGATCTGCTCATCTTACCGGTACCGGAACCACCAAGCCAGCTGGATGGGCCACCCCCATGAAGTTCATAGCTGCCAAAATCTGCTCAGATATCAAGAGCCAGCCACCTATCGCTGTTGAAGATGCTCATCCCCTGACTAAGGGTGCACTCATCAAAACCACAGGCTTCAAACCCGCCAAGGAGAGCGGATCTTTCGGTGCCCGGATCAGCAACACTGGCGTTGCTCCCGCAGTACCTTCTCAAGATATTCGCGCCACTACAGGCAACGATCCATCAGCGCTTGTTGATTGGAATGGCGCTTGGGCCCCAGGTCCCTGCGACTGGGAGTACGAGCGAGGTGGCTTTGATGACGGCTTCGTCCCTAACTACATTCGCGACTGGCAAAACACCATTCCAGCTGCCGCATCAGTCTTGGTTGATGTCAGCGCCCCTGGCTTCCTTGATGGCACCTGTCCACTTAGAGATGCTGAATTGATGCTTCCTGTTATTTATGATGGGCCAACCTTCCCAGGTAGTTACTCGAACCCACGATTTTTCTTTTTCGCCATCTAACATATTCTCTAGACATTGAAGGCTCAGAGGACAACAACAAGCGCTTATACCAGATTGCCGAGCATGTACGTTAATCTGGAAATATCCAGTGTCCGATAATGAACGTTTGCTGACTATCAAATTTAGGAGGCTCACAACTTTCTTGTCACCTGGGAGCGAAAGCAGATGCGCGAGAAGAAGATGATCGAGTTGAGTAATCAGCGTCATGCTGAGATTGCCAATATGCCTCGGGAGCCAAATCCCTTTGCGCCACAGATTGACGTATACCTCCGTCCAGTCGAGTACAAGGATGTTGCAGACCTTACTATCATCTATAACCACTACGTCATGAACACAGACATCCCTGAGGATCAAGAGAAGATCGCCGTTGAGGATATGTCGGAGATCATCAGAATCACCAAGGCCGAGAAGTTGCCGTTCATCGTCGCTGTCAAGGGACGCATGCCAACCTCGAATGATGCTCAGGGTCGCTCAGGTTCCAAGAAGGTCATCATGCCCGCAGTTGAGTAAGTCCACTTGACGTTGCGAAATTCATCATCCATCGAGATTTTTGCGAGACTGCTGCTAACTACAATCAGATCCGTTATCGGCTTCTCATTTTCGGAACGCTACGGCTACGGCTTCGCCTCGCGCGCAAATGGAAGATCCCGAGCTACTGCCACCCTCCAGTTGTACACCCACCCAGATTACACTCGCAAGGGCGTTGGCCGTAACCTTCTTGACCGCCTCATACACTGCATCACACCTTCCTACGCCTATAAGAACGCTTGCGGATGGATCAACCCCACCAACGACAAGGTCAATGAGAGTGGCGGTGGTGGCACCTTCCATCAGGTTCTTTTCCAGTTCCCAGTTGAGTCAAGAGACGATCCCAATATCGGATGGATCTCACGCTTCTTCCTCAAGTTCCATATCCGCGAGAGCAACCCCAACAAGCGCCTGAAGGCAATCTGTAGAAGCTCCCCCAGAGGCATCCGAGCACATTTTCTCGACATGGCCATCTTTCAATACGAGACCCACCACGCGGCTGAGTTTGATGCTTTTCTATGAACTTCTCTTCCACGGGCATCAAAACTGCGATATTCTCGGCGACAACATCCTCGTTGCTTGTCTTGTTTCGCGAGGCATATAACCCCCAGGTCTACGATTTGGGACCTGTTTGTCCTCAAATATTTGACAGCATCCGCGCTTTCCAGACAAACATTTTTGCATTTGCAGCTAGGCAAACATAGGAGGCAACTTCATTGATTCTTGCGTTGGAGACCTTCATTGAATCATTTTCGCTTCTCAAACTCTGTTTTCATAAACGGATTTTTTTTCCTGCATACACGATTGACGATGGATGGGGGATTTGTCAGGGCTTGGAAGGCTTTAAGGCTATCTTACTCCTTGCTTGGGGAAGGACATTTCTGCGAAACTAAAAATCGTGATGACTGGAGATTGATGGTTTTTTTTACCATGCGCTTCTTCTTCCTCTGCCACAGGCGCTTTTGCGGAAGGCGGTGCTTCTTTTTTCTTCACCCACGAAGGGGAATGTACCCTAGCTGCCACATCCTAAAAAAAAAAAAAAAAAAAAAAACCCCCCTAGTCTTCGACGTGACTTGCTATTTTCAAACCTTCGCTTGTGGCGTTTCGGAAGTGAGATCCCTACTTCTCCCCGGAAAGCCAGCGCCATGACATGCCAGGTAAGACACTCATTCTCCCACGAGTTCCACAGAGCAGAGCAAGCTCAGACGGAAGTCAGGGTCCAAAACAAAACCATCCATCCACACAAACGTCTACCTCCTCCCCTCCCCTTCTATCTCTCGTTCTTTCCCCCGTTCTTTATTGTGTATATATATTATGTTGTTCTCCAGATACTACACGATAACCCAAATCTCATTTGACGATGGATGATACCCAACTCGTTGCCTGGCTCGCAGGCAGCCAGGCTTTGAACCAGTCGAGTCTGTGGAGAGAAGCTCTGTCATCGCGGCAGAATAACCGGAGAAATTAGCAAGTAGTAGAGCAGTGCTAGTCTGCCTGTCAGTACAGCCATGTTGGGGAATATGAGAAGTCAATACAATCGTTGAAAAGGTCTTCATCGTGGCTATAAGACTTTGAGCATTTAAAATGAAATACTACGTAGTAACCGTGGGTAAGGAAGGAAGCAGGTTGAGACCTATTGTGTGCCGGTGCTCTGAAGTTGCGGAACCCTCTCTCCATCCGACCAGTTTCTCTGCTGGTCTTCCACCACAGCCTCATCGTTCGTCCAGCACGACTCCATAGCACACAGTCTGATCTCGTATGCCAATTGAGTACCTACTGACGACCGGCATTCGCAGTCGTCGCTTGACGTGACGTTGCTTACCGAGCCCATTTGGATGATCCACAAGGCTAATCTCCATTGAGCGGACTCTGCCGGGCGGTCACAAAAAAGTTCATCCACGATTTCTCATCGTTCCGCGGTAAGAACCCAGCACAAAGTTCCCAACCACAACCACAATGGCGCCTTCAACCAAGAGAAAAGCCGAAGACGACTTCATCCTGACCCTCTCAGACAATGAAGATATCTTCGTCTCCGAAGAAGAAGTCCCCGCCTCTCCACCACCCTCATCCAAGAAACGCAAGCTCGACGCAGCAGCGGCCCAAAAAAAATCCAAGAAAGTGAAGAAACCGAAGAAGAGCACCGATGACGACAGAGAAGAGAAAGAGAGCGAGGGAATATGGGGTGCGAAGGATGAGGATAACGGGGCTATGGACTCGGACTTTGAGTTCCAGCTAGAGAACGGGGATGAGGGTGCGATGGAGGATTTCGAGGGATGGGGATTTGAGAGCGCAAAGAAGGGACTGGGTGATGGAAAGGGGGGCGATAAGAAGGCGGTGGATATTGATGAGATTATTGCACGGAGGAGGGAGAAGAGGGGAGAGGGAAGCCTGTTCCCTGAGGCAAAGGCTGAGGCGGAGCTCGAGCCAGCTTGGAGTGAGAGTGAGGTAGATGGGGACGCCGCAGAAGCCCTGGAGCTCGACAGTGATGCACAGGATGAATTCATGGCGGAAGATGGGTTTGGAATGGGCGTTGGGTCTGACGAAGAGGAGTCGGGAGACGAGAATGTGGAGGAGGAAAAAGAGGGATCAGACAATGAAGATAACGATGAGCAGGATGATTCTGAAGCCGACTCTGTAGCCAGTGCTGTGGCACATCCGGGCGATATTGAGTCAGATGGCTCATCAGACGAGGGAGAGAAAGACGACGATCTAGAGGAGGCAGCGCGACGAGAGGCATTCTTTGCACCCGAGGAGAAGCCCGCCAAGGGTGCCAAAGCTGCGACGCATGCGACATTTCAAAGCTTAGGTCTATCAAGACCAATTCTTCGAGGTCTCTCTGCTGTTGGATTCTCTGCGCCAACGCCAATTCAAGCCAAGACTATTCCGATGGCTCTGCAGGGCAAGGACGTGGTGGGTGGAGCTGTTACTGGTTCAGGAAAGACAGCTGCATTTATCGTTCCTGTCCTCGAACGTCTACTATACCGCCCCAAGAAGGTCCCGACCAGCAGAGTCGCGATTCTCATGCCTACTCGTGAATTGGCAATCCAATGTCACGCAGTTGCTACGAAGCTCGCAAGTCACACGGATATCAAGTTCTGTCTAGCAGTCGGAGGTCTGAGTCTTAAAGTCCAGGAAGCGGAATTGAGGCTCCGTCCCGATGTCATCATTGCCACTCCTGGTCGATTCATTGATCATATGCGCAATTCAGTGAGCTTCACCGTCGATACGCTCGAAATCTTGGTTCTTGACGAAGCCGATCGAATGCTGGAGGCTGGTTTCGCGGATGAATTGAACGAGATCTTGACCACGATTCCAAAATCCAGACAGACTATGCTGTTCTCTGCAACCATGTCGTCGTCGGTCGACAACTTGATTCGTGTTGGACTTAACAGGCCCGTGAGATTACTGGTCGATGCCCAGAAGCAGACTGTCGGAACTCTTGTTCAAGAGTTCATCCGTCTACGTCCTGGGAGAGAGACGAAACGGATGGGGTATCTACTGTATCTTTGCGCAAACATATATACTGATCGAGTGATTGTTTTCTTCAGACAGAAGAAAGAAGCTCACAGAGCAAGAGTCATTTTCGGGCTTTCGGGTCTCAAGGCTACCGAATTGCATGGTAGTATGAGCCAAGAACAAGTAAGTTGTCCATCAAAACAAGTATCTGAGAACTTCGCCTGACAAAATTTACAGCGCATCAACAGTGTAGAAGCTTTCAGGGACGGCAAAGCATCTTTTCTCCTCGCTACCGATTTGGCCTCCAGAGGTCTGGATATCAAAGGCGTAGACACAGTCATCAATTACGAAGCACCGCAATCCCACGAGATCTACCTTCACAGAGTCGGTCGTACAGCGCGTGCTGGACGTCAAGGTCGAGCATGTACGTTGGCTGCTGAACCCGACCGAAAGATCGTCAAAGCAGCTGTCAAGACTGGTCGCACCCAAGGAGCCAAGATCGTTAGTCGCGTGATCGAAGCTTCGGAGGCCGATGAATGGGCCGCTAAAGTTGATGACATGAAGGACGAGATAGACGAGATTTTGATCGAAGAGAAAGAAGACAAGCAACTTGCGCAAGTCGAGATGGAAGTCCGCAAGGGAGAGAACATCATGGCTCACGGAGAGGAGATCAAGGGTCGTCCCAGACGCACTTGGTTCGAGAGCGAGCAGGACAAATTGAGTGCGAAGAAGGTTGGCCGAGCGGAGTTGAATGGTGTCGAGAGTATCCTGAAGAAGAAGCCTGGAAAGTTGAGTAACAAGGACAAGAAGAAGTTGGACGACAGGGAGGAGAGGAGCAAGGACAAGGTCTGGAAGAAGGGGAGGGCAGAGAGAGATGGAAAGGGTGCTCTTCTGGCTGCGCGGAAGGAGGGCAAGGGCAAGAAGAAGATGGCGGGGGGGAAGCCCGGTGCAAAGCCCGGCTCTAAATTTGGCGGGCAGCCAAGAGGAAAGCCGGGGAAGGTTGGGAAAAAGCGGTAGGATTATGCTTGGTGGTGGATGTAGATGTAAAACGCACATGTTACGTATCTTCTTGGATTATCTGCTATGCATGGCTGTCATACATACTCTACAGCATGGGCAAAGAAGTAGGTACCCTTGAACACAGTCAGTCAAACATCGTCGAACCAGTGCAGCGCTTTTGACCTCGCGTAAATCAGTGGTCAGCAGACGAATGGTTTTTAATTGGCCAGTCCGTAACACGATATCACCTCAGCCCTGTGGCGGCTCATGCAGAGCGCTTCCCACGTCGCCATGGAACTTCTACACCGTCTAACTGTACCGTCGAGGTACACTACCGTGAGAAGCCTAGATTGCGCGGTAAGAGCCATCTTCACACAAGACTGCGATTTCAATCTCCAATCTCCAATCTCACAGATTCTTCCTGCCTCATCTTCCTTCCACCTCTTCCGTTGAGCACTTACCTCGATATTACCCTCCGAGACACCAGCAGATATAGACTCTAGTACCTCAAGCCAGGAATCATCACGTTCATTATCATCTCCCTGGCTGTGTACTTCCAATCACCGCCTCATATCCTTCGTCTTCATCTCTCCACCACCCTCTCCAGTCTTTCCCTTCCCCTTCCCACCATTCCCATATCCCTCGACCTTCATATCCCTCATGGCTTTCTCCACCATCTGCACAGCCTCCAAACATACGTCACCTCCCACTCTCCAAGCCCTCAAATACACGCCCTGAGAATCAAGAATATCCTTCGCCCTCTTCCACCGCCGTTTCCAGAGATCCATTTTCTTACTAACAGGCAGGCCGGTATTTGGCCGTTCATCATCCGATGTGTCGGTGCTGTTCCAAGACATACGTTTCTGGACGCTTGCAGAACCTGGGGCAGTCGTTGAGCCAGTAGCTCTGCCAGGGGGTAGCGCAGGAGGTCTTTCCGCGGATGTCACAGACGAGGCATCAGAACTGGGGGCGTGGTAGTACCCTGGCATGTAAGACCTGACTTCAGGGAGAGCGTTGTACGCCGCAGACACTTTCTGACGTGCACTGGTAACATATGACTCCTCCTCAGGCAATTTCACATCGGCTATGCTTTGGGCTCGGGCCAGTGGGTGTGATTGGGTACCTTCCCTATTCCCATTCGGACGGCGTGGTTTCGGTGGAGGAGGCGGAGAGGCTTTGCCAGTACCGGATAGAGCAGGCTCAGATAATGAGCCTGAAGTAGACACACCTCGCAATGCCACGGGTTTCTGAGGTCGTGGGGGAGGTACTCGAGCAGCAGGACTTTCGGGAGACGACCTGCTACGAGATGACTCCGAAGTTTCGAAAGTTGAGGCAGACCTTGGCGTTATCCGACGATGAGATTTATGAACTTGCACAGGCTCCTCGTCAAAATCAATCAGCTTCCCCATGGCCGGCCCAGCACTAGTATGGGATTTCACCTCGGAGACACTCCTTGGAGGGAGAGCAGGCCGCCGTTCTGAAGAATCAAGGGACACTGTTGATTGTGTTTTGCGACTATCCCAAGACTCGATTCGGGAAGAAGCATATTTGCGTCGGTCACCGCTCAGGGGCCCCATAGCCGAGTCGAAGAAACCTTGAGACTCCGGAGTAGTGACATCCCGAATGAAGATCCCAATAATTTTGCCTGGGTGAGACAAAGCCACATCAGTATAAACTTCCAGGTCTGCTTCGCCGCTGTCCCCAATTAGGATGAACTTTCGCTCCGGGAAATCTTTCATGATTCTCTCAAGCGTCCCCTTTTTTCTCTCGGCAACAGGCTCAAAGATGCCCTGTAGCATTCCACTGTACTGCTTCAAATGATACGATCCAGGAGGCAATCCAGCCTTCTGAAAGAAACTGACCAGGACTGGGAAGAGTTGCCACGGAGAATTTGAAACGTAGTGAACCCCAACCCCCATGTCATACAGGGTATTGTACCATTCTTTAACACCTTCAATCGTCAAGTCTTCAAGGTCTCTAATAAAGGCGTTTCGAAAGATCTCACGGGGTCCTCCGCCTATCGAAGAGTGCTTAATAGTATCGTCAACATCACTAATTAGACTGACTCCTTTTGGCTGTGTGATCTTGACTTCTTCGGTTGCTGATAGATGTTGTGAGGCCAGCACTCGCACATGAGTTGGCACAAAATCCAAAGCAGCCCGCATGATGAAATGACCAGCATCATTTGTTGAGACGGTCCTTGAGACAGAACTTTTTTCGTCATAGAAAAACACAGTAATTGGTGTACCAACCAAGGGATTCGTCAAGAAAGGTTTCAAACGCGCCATCATATGCGCATTAGCGGTCGTCAACTCGGCCTGCGACATATCAGACGGTTGATTCCACGTTGGTCGCTTTGAGAGATGTTCAGGTCCCAGGGCTTCAGCAGAGGGCGTCGGAGAATGGCTGCCAGAGTGAGGTCCAGAACTGACTCTCCCACCATACGTCTTTTCAAACTCCGAGCCATCCTCCGGATTCTCACTGTAGCGTCCCTGAGCGGCAACATTACCCTCGCCTCGACCTCTCCTGAGAATCTGATCCGCTTCGTGGGCAATCCTCTCCTCATCTCGGCGAGCCTCGTGTTCCTGGTGCCTTGCCATAAGCGACTGTGGAGAGTTTGGATTGTTATCTCTGTTAGGGTCCTTTGGCGCCGGTATTCCGCTCAATTGTCGAGCTAGTCCGATTAATACCCTATTCTTCCTAGACATTGGCCCTCGATGGGGAGAGTAAATCCAGCCTCGAACATCGACATCAACAATAGCCCGGTCATCTTCAAATTTCTGCCACTCTCTAGCCCAGTACTCGGCATCTCCTGGGCCATCGTCGCTCATGTCGCTCCCATTGCTGGTGGGGTTCTTAGCAGGATCCGGCGGCTCCTGCTTGACATGCTTCTTCGCATAGGAAGGGAACAGTATGAGCTGTTCGTCACCATGCGAAACTATTGCAACATCTGGAAATGACCCTGGTATAGTATTGGTGTTGTCATCAAAGTCCCCGTTGCCGGAGCCCCATTTTTCCGCATATGACTGCTGGTACGACTGCCTGATATCGTTCGCAGCCTTCAGATACCCTGCCAGTTTCTTCCTCCTCGATCCTCGTTCTCTGGCTTCCCCAGCATCTTCAATGGAGCCGTAGCCGGGCACTGAACCGGACATGGTCACCTTGGATCGTCCCGCGGTCTCATTGTTCTTGTGACCACCGAATATTCTGGTGCTCCGCCTGCGGAGAATATCAACAATACGGGTCCCCGCAGCCCTATTCTCTGAAACTCGTTTTTGATGCTTGACAATGAGGCTAAAGATCCGCGACTGTGCTCGGTGTTTGTAGTAAGGAACTATATCGAGGCGGAAGTTGGCTAGCCTGTCCCGCGCTGTTTGTCGAGGGTGAGGAAAAAGGTATCGGAAGAGACTTTGCCGGTGATGAGGATGACCGATTCGAGGACGGAGTGGTAGAGGCGCCAGTTTCGGTGAAGCTATTGCGACTGTACTTGAGGTAGTACAAGGACGCAAGCAAGGCAGGGAACGCCGGCTGTGAGAATGGTTCGGCGGCTATTGACAAGACTCATACGAGACGCTGTAAGCTCAAGATAATTTTGTTTACGACGCCAGTGATGGGTGAGAATGACTAGGGAGGTGAAGTTCTTTCTAGGAGGTGGTATTTAGGTAGATGGTCAGGATCCGAGCTTCCTGCCAAGTAACGCGCCTCGAAGCTCGCCTCTGACGTAGGTGACTATTATTAGTATTTACTGTACGAAGCTTCACTCTGTACTGTCTGTGCATGCTAGACTACCCGCACGGCATTCTCTTACTAATCTCCTTCAATAATCCATTTCCATGCTCGGAGAGTCAAGGTTCATTTAACAGGACCATTCATCATCGTCCCAATTCCTTCAAGAGCCACCATCTACCTGATTTCACGTTGTGGCGAAGAGAGCAATGAGGTTTGCGAGGCCGTAGCCCCAAAATTGAAGTTCATTGCTCGCTAGATTGATTACATCGGACTAAAGCCATCTCAACGCTCCTTTCCCATGCTCGATCGAATCTATCTATGAAATGCCATGCACCGGGTGAGGGTTACTCAACGGGGAGCTGCTTTCCTGGGTTTGTATCAAGTTCTTGTGATCAGAGAAGTCCCCTGGACACTGAAATGGTACGTGGTGAAGGGAAACGGAAAGGTCTTACTTGAGCTGTGCTCTTTGGCCTTGACTGAGCTGCTTTTTATGTCCCCGGGACTTTTGTGATTACGCTAGACGAGCCATGAGATTGTCGTTGGAATGAGAACGCAAAAGATTGTTGCTCAGATGGCCTGCCGTTAGACTGTCGGTCAATGCTAGAAGGGATGTAAGGGGGTGGGATATTTTCGCACAGTATTAGCCGTTAGCCGCTACAGAGGTTTGCTGTCTCTTCGCCGACGGTTGATTCGCATCCTATACAAAGTCAGCACTCCCCTGTGTCGCTATACCACCGCAAGTTTATGATGGACAGAGCAACCCCCAAATGTGACTAGCTTCCATTAGGGAGCGCGTAGCATTCACGTACATCGGACGAGGTACGTTTGTTGGATGACTTCTTCTGTGGCCGAGCAGGCTTGACGGGTTTGACATCGCCTTCGTCAAAGAGATCGTCAGGTAGATCGTAGCTGAAAAGATCCAAGTTAATAGCTGTTTGGATCATACGTGAATTAGACTGACTTCTTCTTGTGTGAAATGTGTAGAGCATTAACATCATCTTTGTACTGATCCCAGCCGCTGCAAGTATGCTTAAAGTCCTCAACGTGCCAGGAGAGGTCGAGAGATTTGGCTCCTACGCAAATTAGCAGATGGGCGGCGCAAGTTTACTACCTGTAGTAATCGCATAGTATCATAAAGAAGCAGGACATTTCCGAGAGCCCACTCACCTTCGTGGAGTTTCAAACCAATGTAGTGAGTGGTCGTGTAGACCATTGTCAGCTTTTCATCGCCATTCGTACTCTCATGTTCACAGGTAGCTTCGTCCTTCAGCAAGGCCCCTACAGCCAAACCGTGGCCGGTTGTTGCTGTACCGATGTCCTTGGCATAATACTCCAGACTTCCAGTCTTGACCTCCTCAACTTGCTGATCTGTCCTACATCTGTGTGCTCTGTTGTAACCCTTGTTGAACGGCTGGGCAATGGCAATAGATGTCTGCTCCGTAAGCTTGCCGACGAGCAAGCGAACTTTAGATTCAACAAAACCTGCCCATTTTGTTTGTGCTTCGCTCGAAGTACTAGCTGTGATTATGCAAAGGTAGTATTTGTAGCTAGATGTGAAAAAGGTATGCTTCTCGAACAAGTCTTTCCACTTTGCTTTGCCCATCATGACTCGGTCAGCAATCTCACCGCCACGTTTGAGTTCTTTGTGAATAACTGCCATGGTCGATCGAGTCACGTTGTGGGTTGTGCACATAGAGGGGTAAGCGGGGGTTATGATTGGCATGATGTGTCTTCTGTCAGTGTGGTTGATCTTTTTGTTGGTTAGCTGGGTTGATCTGAACAAAAATAGACCTTAGACACATACCTGTGGGTTCCAGACTTGAAGATTTAGTGTGCCGGTCTCGATATTTTTGAGTAGAACTGGTTGAGGCCACTGCCACTTATCAATGATCTTAAAGAACTTCATCACTATTGTCGAGCCAGTGGCCTTGGGATACAACTGGCAGACACGAGCAACAAGAATTGCCCAGGCAACACCTCCTGGAAAACCATAGATGTTGCCAACAATGCCACGCCGAGCACTCCAGAGCTTGATCGTCCGAAGGGCGGTCCGAAAAACTTTGGTTTGGGGAACTAGGGTAAGCATCTCATCGGCCACACGAACACCATTCAGGGAGCGAGCTTCTTGTTCCTCCAATCCTCGCAGCAGGTCGTGGTCCGTCATCTTCAAGTCTTTTGGGATCTGGTTGAGACTCGCAATACGTCCGAATAATAAATCAATATCAACGCCCGAAAACTTGAATGTCAAGATAGGCACGTAAGCATCTGGCTTGGACATCAACTCGGTGATTGTTCCTGGCGGGGTACTCTTCTCCATAATTTCGGGGAAGAATTGGAAGAATTCAGCCTTGGTGATATTCTTAGGGACGACGACCAGAGTATCAATATCGGAACCAGGACCTATGACACCAAGCTTGAAACTCCCGAAGGTCTCTATCTTTCCTCCTGCCGATTTGACGGCAGACTCGGCTGAACCTTGAGCTCTGGTGACTTGCCTTACAAACTCTTCGGTGATCGCTTGGAGGGACTTTAGAACGGCAGATCTGTATGTAAAAGCTTGTCAGTACTGGTATCCTTGGGCGATAAATGAAACTATGACTGCTCGATCAGAGGTTCGACCACCGAATGCTAATGACACCTCACCTTTTTGCAGTCTCCTCGGGAGTCTCGTAGTTGTTTTGTCTCTTCAATTCAGAAATCAGTTCGTCATTGGCAGCTTCATCGGCGGCGGTTGGCGCAGCAGAAGTTAGCGGAGGCGTAACACCCAGAGCCTTTGCGTATGGAGTCGCCATATCGGCGAGGAGATGGGCACTCAAGTTGAAAGGTCTGTTTAGTAGTTGAGGTTGAACTCAAGTCGAGGCGCGTTTGTCCGAGTTGTGATGTACGGAGTAGGTAGCTTAACACTAAAAACACGCTAACCGCATCCCTGCAAAGCTTGAGCTTGGCTAGTGTGATTTGTCAGCAGCAGTCAGTTTACCATTCCGGGTATACGAAGTATATAGAGCAGACAGTGTTCCGCTCTTATATCCAGAAATTAATCATACAAATGTCAACAGGCTCGAGAGATGGCGGACATCGAGTGGGAGGGCAATGAAAATACTTCTAAGGATCCTGACGAGCAGAGGGTCCTACATGCTGCTCTAAGCTCCTTTTTGTAAGTCCCTGATGTATTCCATTCAAGGTTTGACTACTTTTCATCCTACATCCTTTCTCATCATTCAATCTTGTGGTTCTCTACTCAATCCACATGTTCAAATTTCCAATCAATGGCCTGGATAGCTGTGGTAAGGATAGATATCAAGGAAGCCCAAATTATGGATCTTTTCGGATGGACAAAGTAGGTACATGAGTTTCACTGACGGCAAAGACAGCCACTACTCGAGAGTATCTCACTACAATACTACCCATCTTAGGAGACAGTCGTTCTATGCGCTTCCAAGAGCACATTCGGAATTGCTGGCCGCTCCTCCGTTCAACTACCTGGAAACGCTGAATGCTGTTGACGATGCGATTGACAGCAATGCTGAGTTCTCTCTTGCCATCCTCAAATCCGGTCTCCAGTCCTTTGGAATCAAGGACCCATCAGTCACATCAGCCGGTAGCAAAGGTAACGATTGGCAAGACAGGGCCACAACCAGCGACTTTGAGAAGGCAAGAAGCACCCTAAGGCAGTTCTTCAGAGATTGGTCAGCAGAGGGATATTTAGAGCGAGAAGCGTGCTACGGTCCAGTCGTAAAGGCACTTGAGAAAGAGCAGCGAGCTCGTCCAAGATCGAAACTGCGTGTTTTGGTTCCGGGCGCCGGGCTGGGCCGGCTAGTCTTCGACCTATGTTGTGCTGGGTTCGATACAGAAGGCAATGAGATTAGTTATCACCAACTCATCGCTAGTTCGTACATCCTTAATCACAGTCCAAAGGCTGAAGCCCACACACTCTTTCCGTGGGTGCACTCATTCTCAAACCACAAGAGCCGGGAGAACCACCTCAAATCTGTCAAAATCCCAGATATCCATCCCGGTACGGTACTGGGCAAGGTCGAGAAGCCTGGAGCGATGGTATGTGCTAGTCAAATTCTAATTACTCGTCCCTGCGTCTCCTCTGAATTTGCCGAGACATGTCTGCCTCCACTATGTTACCAAGAAACTAGCTAACAAGTCTTCATATAGAGCATGAGCGCTTCGGATTTCCTATTACTGTATGAGGATCAGGAAAGCAAAGATTCGTTTGACGCAGTAGCAACAGTGTTTTTCCTTGACACCGCTCCAAATGTCATCCGGTACATCGAAGCCATCAAAAACTGCCTCAAGCGAGGAGGACTACTCGTCAATTTAGGTCCTCTCCTATGGCACTTTGAACATAATTCTCCAGGAGGTCACGGGCGTGAGAAGGACGAAGCTAACACGACCAACGGACAAGGTATGCGATGCTTCACTCGATCAACCCATGGACCGAGGGATCACTGACCCGCGATCAAGGAATTGCAGATCCAGGCTCAGTGGAGCTGACAGATGACGAAGTGGTGGCGCTGATTGAGAAGCTTGGCTTCGATATAGAGCATAGGGAAGCCGGGATCTCGGCGCCGTATATACAGGATGTGGAGAGCATGCTTGAGAATACCTACAAGGCTAGCCATTGGGTGGCTAGGAAGCGATGATACCCCCCAACTTGAGCGTGTAGCTTAGCTTTTTGCCAGAGAAAATCCAAGCGAGCCATCGCTTGCTCTTCTAACCTACCCTACCGGTAGCTTCAAACACATGAGAAGTTTGCTTCTGAAACTCAACAAACAAGCAGATCTGTCGATTGTGCCGTGTTTTCTTCCGGGCGACGAAAAAAAAAGACCCGGGCGCCCTCGTTAAGATTGCCGAGCCTCGATAATTTCGGGTTCGATGTATTTGGGTCGTGATCCCTCTTCTGTCGTATCACGTGGTCATTTATGCAAGCCCAGCTCCGTTTTTCGGAATCTGAACTGATTAGGACATGCGGTATCAGTTCTTCGAGATCACCAATGCCAATTCGGCCCTGGGTGAAATTTTGAAAGCACGGAGAACCGGCCATTGAATTTATTTATTCTGGTTGGAATCCAAAGCCTTTATGTGGCACATCTTACACTCATATCTACACCTGGAAAATTTTCCCGAGTTTCACAATTTGGCCTGTTCCTTTACCATATTGAACATCCCCCCTCTGGCCCACACCTCACCTCCATCAACCGTGATGACCGCTCCGTTGATATGCGAACCCGCCCTAGAGCTCAAGAACACGACCAAGCCGGCAATATCCTCCGGTTTCCCAAGCCTTCTATTCGGGCTCTTAGCCGCAATCGCCTCCTCACCACCGGACATTCCAATAATTCCGGTCGTCATCTTACTCGGGAAGAAGCCTGGCGCAATGGCGTTGACGAGAATGTGTCTGGGACCCAGCTCTACAGCCAAGTTCTTGGAAAGATGGATGGCTGCTGCTTTCGATGCGGAGTACCCGTAAGTACCCTGTTTTCCCAGGGATCCAATTGCGATACCAGCTACGGAGGCTGTGACAATGACTCGCGACGGATCCAGAATCGATGCTTGCTTCTGCAACATCGGAGTAAAGCTGTCTCCTCATCAGCTTCCGATGCAGTTCCAATGCCCAACCTCCGTGTCATAGAGTATGAATGAACTTACACCCGAATGGTGTTGAAGACACTCTTAACATTCAGATCCATCACCTTGCCAAAAGCCGAGTCGGAGTGTTTGTCGAATTCCTCACCCCATGTCGCGCCCGCGTTCGCAAACAGGATGTCGACATGATCGGTCGTCTCTGCCACTTGCTTGAGCAGATGCTCTACGCCCTCGAACTTTGCAATATCGGCGGGTACGGAGATAGCCTTTGCGCCTGGGGAGAGGTTGGGGAGAGCGTTTAGGGCTTTGACGGCGGATTCGCAGGCGGAGGCTTTGCGGGAGGTGATGTAGACTTTAGATGCACCGGCCTGGAGGAAGCTGTGATGGTCAGTTTGTGGGCTTTTTAGTAGGGGGAGTGGCTGGAACTGTACCCAGATGCTGCATGTAGACCGAGACCTCGAGAGCCGCCTGTGACAACGACCACCTTTCCCTTAAGGGAGAAGATATTACCGAAGTCTTGGAGCTCGGTGTCGTATTTGGACATTGTGAGAGGAGATTTGCTGTAATGTATGGGTGGCGGTGGAGAATTCTGAAAGACAATGGCTGATATAGAAGGAAAACTGGGTTTGATATTGCGGGGTGTCAACTTGCCGTGCCGAGGTCCCATGCAGTGCATGCATCAACATGAATACAACATGAGTGCAACATGAATTCAACATGAATACAACATGAATACAACATGAATACATTTCTCACAACTTCACGTCGAATATTTTTTTTTTCCGGTTTGGATAGCGGAACACTGTTCCATGCGATCCAACCAGAGTGCCGTCTTGGAGAGTTAACAGTGGCTCAACCATACAGTTCGCAATGAAAGCTGGCCACGAGTGTCTTGAAGTGACTGTTGACTTTGAAACAAGCGAATCTCATCAGAAGTATGATGGATTTATTTACCGTAGTATAATGCCGAGTTTAAAGATTGGATATCTATCGTCCATGGCTCTTTTGCATCTGTACTCTATTGTCCATCTAGCTTTGGCTTCACGAACTTCTTTGCTTCCTCGTTCTTCATGACAGTCGACTCGTAGTCAGGTCGTAAAATCTCTACGCCATCTATCGTCCTGCCATAAGTGATACCTCCCATTCTGCTGACTGCTTTCATGACCTATGCACTTTTAGTCACCAAATTTGACTCCAAAACTTCTTTGGACTTACACTTGGATCAATCAAGTTCTTGTCTTCATTCAGAGCATCTTCTCTAACCCAGAATCGCGTACCCTCGATAACAGCCAGAACCCCAGTCTTTTTTCCAGGAGTAGACTTGCTTTCGTACTCTTTCGTAAAGTCCAACTTCCCCTCGATCGCAAAGATGGCTTCCTTAACTCTGCTTGCATTCACAGTGGAACACTTAGCAGGAGTCAATCCACTAAGGGCCCATTCGCTCTCTCCATAAGGTGTATCAACACTGCAAGCGTTCGCTGCCTCAATGAAGTGCTCCGAGATCATGTTGATAACACACTCCCCTGACTCCAACAAGTTTTTCAGCGAGTCCTTCGCATTATCAAAGCCTCCAGCAAATCCAACGGTAAACAACGGCGGGTCATGGTTGATGACTGAGAAGTAGCTGAATGGTGCCAGGTTCGTGCTGCTTCCATCCTTCGAGGTTGTGCTAATGAAGCCAATTGGTCGGGGAATGACGCCGGAGATCAAGAGCTTGTAGTTGAAAACAGCCGGTCTGTCCTTCTCATAAGGATCAATCTCGACGTGTGGAGTCTTCAGGCCCTCTCCTCCATCGTTCGCTCCATCGCCATATTTCCATTCGGGCTTGACAGTTTGCTTAACGTTCCAGGCAGCGGAATGATCCCAAACAGGCCGTTCACTCTCCACTTTCTTAAAGTCGGGATGCGGGTTTCGCTTGATATGTTTCTCGGCGTCACCTCTGGTCTGAGTAGACATTTTGACTGTTGATGTTGTGAAGCTGCGGATGGGTCTGGCAGGACTGGCAACGAGACGATTAATAGATTGCCTAATTCTGTCATTGGAGAGCGATCAAAGATTGCAATGTCGGAGACTCACCGAAAGATGAATTGGGCTCTTTGATATAGCAATTCCATCCAGCGTTGATGCTTCCACTTGGAAAAGCCTGAAGTTATAATTATAAAATGGGACATGGATGAGCCGAGTACCACTCCCGCCCGTTAGCTATTTCGTCATCAACCCTAAGCTTTGCTGAGTGTGCTGAGTGTGCTGATTGACCCCGCGCCGCGCCGGTTGACGATAAGTACACAGTCCGTACCTACTGTACTGATAACGATCAAACCCCCCTCGATGCGGGGTTACAGTAAATAGATACCTATAGACGGATCCAAAAGGCTGAGGAGATGGCTTCAACTCAACATACCTTATCTATCGATTACAAATATCTCGGCTCCGCCTGTGACATTGCAAACTTGAATCCAAAATCGATTGCTCGATCTTTGGGATTCCCTTTCAAGATATCCCGAAGTATTATTCCACACTTATTACCCCTCTATAGAAAGATCACAAGCCATATATATATGACCCTGTAGTATCCAGATAAGAGTTGCACCCGTACCTATTCGTGGTTTGTATATTCAACATACCGCAAATTTACACACATCATGGCTGGTGTCCAGACTTTCAAGCTCGGCGAGTGGAAGCTCCAGTCGGGCCAAAGTATTCCAGATGCTGAGATAGCGTTCAAGGTCTTCGGAGACCCCAAGTCCCCAGCTATCATCTATCCGTCGTGGTATTCTGGTTGTGAGTTGCCCTGGATTTGATTTATGACACTTGAAATTAATGGGCCAAAGCTATTGCGGACAACGAGTGGCTCATTGGAGAAGACCACGTCTTGAACCCCAAGAAGTACTTCATTGTGATCACTGCTCTCTTCGGCAATGGGCAATCGACTTCGCCATCAAATTCCAACATTCGACCTTTCCCCAAGGTAACATTCTTTGACAATGTGAGAGCTCAGCATAGGCTTGTGACAGAGCATTTGGGTATCAAACACGCTCGTGCCGTCCTGGGATGGTCTATGGGAGCCGGACAAACCTACCAATGGGCTACCAGCTACCCTGATTTCATGGATATCGTAGTGCCATTTTGCGGTTCTGCCAAAACTTCTCTTCACAATCAAGTCTTCCTTGAAGGTGTCAAGTCCGCCTTGCTTTCAGCGAAGAAACACTCCTCGGCTGGATCTTGCGAAGGCGGAGTCCTGCCCAAAGGAGAAGAGTATCGCACCTGGACTTCCGAGGAAAAGGAGAGCGGACTGAAAGCTTTTGGGAGAGTATACGCTGGCTGGGGATTCAGCCAGGCTTTCTATCGCGAGAAACTTTACGAAACGGTCCTCGGCTTCAAGGATCTCGAGGACTTCATGAAGAACTTTTGGGAGAAGTGGGCGTTATCCAAAGGTACGTGGAAAATACTGCAGAGGCAGGACACGCTGACAGGCCCCTAGACCCCGAAAATCTGCTAGTGATGCTGTACACTTGGCAAGCTGGCGATGTCTCAAACCAAGAGCCGTATAATGGAGATTTCAGAGCGGCAATGCAGGCCATCAAAGCAAAAGCTCTCGTGCTTCCTGGGAAGACAGACTTGTATTTCCCGTAAGTTTTGTATCTAAACGGCAAAATAATAGCTGACTACTTTCAGACCCGAGGACTCCGAAAATGAAGTTGCGAACATGAGAGATGGCATAGGAATAATGACCCCATTCCCGAGTATCTGGGGACATTGGGCAGGTGGACCTGGGGACTCCAAAGAAGGTAAAAAAGATGGGGGACCACATTACTTTTCTCTTCCGTCCTGATATATTACCAAATCCTTTCCCGAATCAACCGTACATGGCAAATTTACTGACCCCTTCTAGATGTGAAATGGCTTGAGGAGAAGCTTCGACAGGTCGGGCTGGGAGATAGTAAGGATGAGGTTGCACTTGTGACTGGCAAATTTCGCGATGCTTCTCTTTGAGTCGAAGTAGCATCATCTTTTTGATATTTATCAGTGTTAGAGTATTGAAATGTAGAAAGATGACAAGGAGACGTGTAAATTCCAGGGAGTCCTTGAGAACATTTATAAGTCCTGAATTGGAAAGCAATAGTTACTCTCTATATTTTGGTGACAATCTAAGAACGGTCGAAGCAAAGCGTCTCGTGGTTAGAGAAAAGCTAGGGATACTAATAGTAGTCACGTGTAGTTACTGGCAGAGGCCTTTTACGCTAGTCAATCGAGGCAACACAACATCAGCTCCAATCTAGTTCCATTGCATACTCAACATGGCAACTGGAGCAGAAATCATGACCGGTGGCTCTTCCTGGCCCATTCAGCTCTCAATTCCTCTTCCAAGAGCTCCTGATACCAGAATACACATGCACCTTACCATCCAAACAACCTCAATCCTCTTGTTCCTTACCACTACGATGAATGGAGGCACATCAACCACGGTACCACTGGGATCTTTTGTCTACGCACTTCCAGATGTAAGCCATTATCATAATTGTCTGAGTTGATCTTATGGGCTAAAAAAAATCGCAGAGGCTGAACCTTGGCCAAACGCTCTCAACCCCTCTTTACACGCACGAATCCTCATTGGAGTTCACGACACGCCTTGCAAAGCTTCTTGCGCACAAGACCAAAAAGTCGGTCTATGTTGGGAACTCCATAAGCTTCACGAGCGCGGGTATGGGCGGAACAGTGGAAGAGGAAATGGAAGGATTCAAGAAGGTGGTTGATGTTGTGCTGGAGGAGGTTCAAAAGATCAGCGGAGAGCAGCGAAACGGCATTTGAAAGAACGGATTTCTCTTCGTCAGATACGCCGTGGCTGCGACTACATTAAATGCTTGTTCAACGGAATAAGCTTCCTTCACGTTCCATGCACCGAAGCGACGGGAGAATACCGTGCTACACGGAATACCTCTACTTCGATTTTCGAAGTTTGGGGTTCATGAAGCTGCATGCCGTCCTTTCCATGATGGAAACACTGCATCAATCGGGATGAGCTGGTCGCTTTGGAACCCACAGTGACACTCGTAGAAGGCCCCTTCCGGGGCCCGGTGTCACAAACCTCAATCTTATTTTTTCCAGCTTCAGCTGCGCGTCATTACTGTGGGAGATGAGCCTGTTGTGGCACTCGGTAGTTCACCGTCTTCACCTCAGCCAGCTTGGAGCGATGGAGCGTAATATAGCTACTATGTTACATCGGACCAAGACAGTCGAGGTTCTAAGGTCGCGCTTGGAGGATACGGCAATGATATACAGAACGCCAGCATGCTCGCCGTCGGAAAAGAAGCTTGTCATGTGGACCGCATTTTCTTAAAGGCAAGCTTGTGCTGGAGATTTGCGCTATCTGATAGTCACACAGCTTGATGTTGTATCATGCTGTAGTGCCGCAACTCGGTCGCTGCAATATACAACGGGTAGGGGGCGTTGATCTGGCACATAGGTATTCAGCATCACGGCGGTGGTCTCTCATTTGGTAGGAGACATTATCTCTCGTAGACGGTTGGTTACCACTCAAGCTGGAACACCAAAATGACCCCTGGCTGCTACTGTAGGTACGGTAGATAGGTATTTCCCTAGATTAATCATAGATGTTTTGGTCAACTCGATATATAAATGAGATTGTGCTGAGTGCTGTATTGAAGATCGAGGGGCAAGTAACCGAACATGGAGCTGTCTCATGACACTGGGAAGAGAGGATAGTCCTCCGGGTTACTCAAGTGTCTCAAGTCCTAATCTCTGAAGGATCGAATGTGGAAACAACCGACTAGAGATGAGATAGGTATCTTAACAAAGCATCTCCTGTGTTATGCTTCACCTACCTCTCTTCTCTACAATACATCAGATTATTCGGCTGTGCTGTTTTGTTGATTTTCTGGCATCACGAAAATTGTTGCTGTAAAATAAAAGTCAAATCACTCCCCGCCAACAAGCGACTATTGGGAACGTGGGCGCAACGTTTTGAATCGCTGTCTCCCCAACGATTCACTCACTATCTACTCATTCGCCTTTAAATTCCAGCCCTCACGACGACGAGGTCGCAGTGGAATTCACCAGCTCCCGTGCGCAGCTAACCGCCAACGCATTTCTTTAGGCCCTGTAGTCGGCAAACCGCAGTAGCAAACAACCCCACGATCCGACTACCGCCGCTTGCACCCACCCACCACTGCGTCCCTACCACCCACTGCTCGATTCGAAGCCTCCCTCCCCATACAGAGATTTTTGCAGCCTTCGTTACTCTCGTGAGTACTATCGGTGCTCTTCCTGCGAGTCTGAAACCCTGAGATTTCGCAGCGAGACATCAGATTCGGCCTGCGCTGACCACTCCGCCTTGCACGAGTGTCGACCTGCGAGATCTAAATGTCCCACAAGTGAAGAACATTTTTGTGCGACATTAAAGGCTATATCCATACCTCAACAGCGTACCTGCATATCGGGATCTCCCTGAACTACCTCAGAAGAACGTCGACAAGGCCTTTAGAGCCATCAGCGATCATGGCCTGGCAACCGGAACAAGAGCCATTGAGGCAACTCTCAGGTTGCTTGAGAGACTCCCTGGGTGGTCACAATAAGACAGCTCAGAAGCAAGCTGAGATCGTGAGTGGAAGCGTATTCGGTTTGCACCAGAAACCTGTGTACCCAAAAGCAACAATTACTGACATTGTGACTATTGTATAGATGCTCGCGCAAGTAAAATCCTCGCCCGACATTAACAACTACCTCACCTACCTATTCTCAAGTGCTCAAGCTCCTCCTGGCCTGGCCTACAGTCCCGAGGATTACCATGCCGTTCGATCTGCTGCCGCGGTTATGCTGAAGAACAATATTCGGACAGGTTACAAGGCTATTTCCCAAGAGAGTCTTGCGCTTGTGCGTCAATCAGTGCCATTAGCTCTTCAAGACAAGAATCCGTCGATACGAAACTATGCTGGGAACATCATCACGGAGATTATCAGTAAAGGTGGGATTCTAGGTTGGCCGCAACTACTGCCAGAATTGCTGGCTCTGATTGGCAATGACAGTGGAACGGTCAGCACTGATGCACAAGAAGGCGCGATGGCTGCTTTGGCCAAAGTGTGTGAAGACAACAAAAAGATTCTGGACAAGGATTACGGTGGACAACGACCCCTCGCATTCATCATCCCGAAACTGATCTCATTTACGACGAACGAGAAGCCAAAGATTCGGTCATTAGCCCTTGGGAGCATCAACGTTTTCATTCCCCAAAAGCCTCAAGCTCTCCTGGTCTCCTTGGATTCCCTTTTAAACTGTCTATTTCAGCTTGCAAATGACCCTTCTTCCGACGTTCTGCGGCAGGTATGCCGTGCCTTTGTGCAGATCGTTGAAATCCGACCTGATAAGATCCTTCCACATATCGAGGGTCTTGTTGAATACATGATAGCTCAACAACGAAAGATCGAGGATGAAGAGCTCGCTTGCGATGCGGCGGAGTTCTGGTTGACCGTGGGGGAACATGGCGAGCTCTGGAAGTCACTCACTCCCTACCTTCACAAGATCATTCCGGTCCTGTTGGAAAGTATGGTGTATAGCGAAGAAGACATCGCTATGCTGGAAGGTGGAGGGAATGATGCTGATGAGGACGACCGTGCTGAGGACATCAAGCCCAAGTTTGCCAAGAGCAAGAACGCCAGAATCGCTTCCAATGGCGAAGGGGACTGTGGCACTGAGGAGGAGCAAGCCTACCAAAAGTTAAACGGCATGGATGATAACTTGAGCGATGGCGAGATCGAGGAATTTGACGACGGTGACGATGATGAAAATCCCGAAGATCGATGGAATCTGCGGAAATGCTCCGCAGCCGCTCTAGATGTCTTTGCAACAGATTTTAAGGGACCAGTCTTTGAGACCATCTTGCCATATCTGATGACAAATCTCAAGCATGAAGAATGGCCATCCCGGGAAGCTGCTGTGCTTGCCCTGGGAGCAGTTGCAGACGGCTGTATCGAAGTTATAGCACCACATCTTCCGGACCTCGTACCGTACCTGATTTCTCTGCTCAACGACCCGGAGCCTCTTGTTCGGCAAATCACATGTTGGACTCTGGGTCGATATTCTGCTTGGGGAGCTAGTCTCAACACTCCAGCTTTACGAGCACAATTCTTCGAGCCGATGATGGAAGGCATTCTCACTAAAATGCTGGACAATAATAAGCGGGTACAGGAAGCTGGTGCCTCTGCGTTCGCACATTTGGAAGAGAAGGCAGGTGTCGATATCACTCCTTACTGCGAACCCATCATTCGACAGTTCGTCCGATGTTTCGAGAAGTACAAGGACCGCAATATGTTCATCCTCTACGACTGCGTCCAAACCTTGGCCGAACATGCAGGCCATGCGCTTGCTCAACCCCAGATAATTGAATTGCTTATGCCAGCCTTAATCCACCGATGGAACAAGGTGTCTGACCAGTCACGGGAGCTTTTCCCTCTCCTAGAGTGTCTCTCATACGTCGCGAGCGCCCTAGCCGAGTCATTCGCGCCGTTCGCTCAACCCGTCTTTACCAGATGCATACAGCTTATCCATCAAAACCTGCAAGAGTATCTTGCATTCGTCCACAACCCAATTTTAGACACGCCTGATAAGGACTTCCTCGTAACGAGCTTGGACCTCTTGAGCTCCATAATTCAGGCCCTTGAGGGGAAGCAATCCGCTGAGCTCGTATCCAGCTCCCAGCCACGCCTGTTCGAGTTGCTCCAGTTCTGTATGGAAGATCCAGAGAATGACGTTCGACAATCCTCATACGCACTTCTTGGAGATTGCGCAAAGTACGTCTTTCGAGAATTGGAGCCTTTCTTAGGTACCCTGATTCCACTACTGATCCAAGAACTCGACGTCGATGCAATTCTCGACGAGCAGATCGAGAGTGGCTTCAGTGTAGTTAACAATGCGTGCTGGTCTGCTGGCGAAATTGCTATCCAATATGGCAATGGAATGGAACCCCACATTCCCCAGCTTCTCGAACGACTTCTTGCGATCCTAGGCAACCCAGAGGTGCCCAAATCCGTCATTGAGAATGCTGCAATTGCTCTCGGTCGCCTTGGCCTGGAGAGTGCGAACATTATGGCACCTCATCTGACGAAATTCTCGGAGCCGTTCCTGAACTGCATCGCCACGGTCGATTTTACCCTCGAGAAGGCTACGGCCTTCAAGGGGTTCAGTCTAATTATCTCGCGCAATCCGCAGGCCATGGAAAAAGATCTTGGGCGGTATTTTACTGCTGTTGCACAATACAAGATGATGGAAGCGTACAAGACCCCGTTGACGGCTGACTTGCAAAATATCTTCAAACAGGTCGGTTATTTCATCACCGTATGCAATACCTCAATACTGATAAATCTAGATTGTTGACCTCTACAAGTCCCTCGTCCCGGACTTCAGCGCATTTATCAACACACAGATCTCACCGGCAGACGCCAATTACCTTCGAATGGTCTATCAATTGTGAATAAGAGAGAGGAAAGACAAGTTCAGCTTATTTCGGGAACACTGCAACCACAAGCGCATTGGGGACGGATCGGATTGGCGCGCACTTGCGAGAGAACTTTTGACAGCTTTGTCTTGCAGATCATCGTGACTTGACGATGTGCCTCGCGAAGAGAAACAGAAGACGCATAGCGATTTGGCCTTAATCTTTAACGGGGGAAGCATTTTACCTGCTTGCTGCGGAACTCGAACGGATTAACTGAGTGGTAGATATATTGATTTCTATTTCGCGGTTGACGAGGGATAGGGTATAGGCGATGGGCGATGGGCGATGATGGGTGGATTCGTGTTACGGGGCATCTGGGTCACGGCAGACAAACAGACCTTGCGCTACTACTAAAGAGCGCATCTCGCAATTCGTGCTGGCGAGGAACAACAATGGATGGGCATGAATGGGCATGGGATTTGGGACCATGGTTGGGTCCCCGTAAATAACAACATACTCTTCGGTACTTAGATAGTTCAGCACGTATCCTCGCGGGCAGGCTTTGCATAGCACTGAGATGGGTGAATGAAGACATATGAAGCATCTTTCTTGACTTGCAGTTAATCTGTGATTTGGCCCGAAGATGAAAATGTCGAGGTTCATGAAATGTTCCCAGTGTTCAAGAGGGAGAGCGTTCGTCTCTTTGCCCTTTGTGTCCAGTCCAGGTCCAGGTCGGTTGGTTATCCATACTTGTTAGTATTCGGCCATCGCCATCGGTCTCGTCTCGTCTCGTCGAATGCCCTCCTCCAAGTTCTCATGCGACACCTTCCCCTTCACCTCTCTCAGCCTAGAACCTAGAACTCTAAACCGAGCGAGCAGCTAGCTGGCTAGCTGAGCGTACTATACTATCAGCGCGAGGAGGACCCCCTATGGAGAGAAGGGGGAGGTTTGGGATGAGGGTAGGTATGATTTTCGGGTGGGGAGGAGGGAAAGGGGAGGGAGGGAGCGTTGGTGTGGTGCTACGCTACGGCTGGGACATGCGGAGTGAGGCTATTCCGTGTGTCCTACGGATACTTTCGTGGTTGATCGGGGTTTGCTGGCCAGGGTAGTTGTGGTGGTGGGTTAGGTAAGGTAGGGTAAGGTAAGGTAGGTAGATATGGTAGGTAGGTAGGTATGTAGGTAGGTTACTTGACAATTGTCACGGCTTTCCGGACTGGGTTGTTTGTACATATCCGTATGAGGGCGTGCCTTTGCGAACGGGCGAGGGGGGGGGGGAGGGGGAGGATGAATGCACGTGTTGAAAGAAGGAGAAGGAGAAGGAGAAGGAGAGGAAGAGGAAGAGGAAGAGGAAGAGGAAGTCCACACCGAACGAACCCGTCTTGAGCGCCCAGCTGGTCTAAGCGTTCTAGAATGTTGATATTCTAGGTAAGGGACGGCGGCGGCCTTGGAAGTTAAAGCGTGAGTGTACGTACGTACTGCGAAGGGAGGAAGATGGTGATTCGAGCGCTTCGTCGCCCTGCGTCTGTCTGCGCCTGCGCGCCGCCCGGCAGCTTGTTTCTGTCGCTGCTTGGGTACGTACCGTACTGGATGCTATTTACAGCTCCGGCTACTTATGAACCAGCCTAGCGAAAAAAGAAAGAAGAAAAAAACTCTGTTTAGAACAGCCGGCAGAGCGAGTGGACGACATGGCTGTGTCTCAGACATGCAGATGGGAAAAGTAAATCTGGGAGAAAAAGGGGTACGTACCTACGGAGTATACCGGTAGTTTACGTAGGAGGCTAGCTGGGCTGCAAGTGCCGGAGGACTCTGGAAGTGGAAAAGTCACTTTTGGCTATATTCAACTCCGTGTCACTGAGACAAGAGAGATCCGTGAGCTGTAGGGAGCGGAGTACGGTACTGGCCAACCTTGTTCCGATTTGGATCCCAGATATTTGATGCCGCTGGTGGTTTGCACGTGTAATTACCCGTATGCCGAAGTCGGATACTACGGATAAAGCAAGTTGAAGCTTAGAGGTGCCTTGGGGAGGCTCAAGATGTGAAAGCGGTGTTAGCGAGCATGGGACGAGACTTCCAGAGTGGCCTTGGATGGTTTAGAAGGCCGGAGTCTTGCAAAGTGTTGGCATATCTCTTTTCACTCCCGGAGTTGGAAACAGTCCATGCAAAAGTGCTAATCTGGGAATAAGTACCACAAAAGCAAGAAAAAAGACACACTAGCTGAACAACACCACGAAGACAAATATAGAGCCATATAATCGATTCGTTCTGATGATAAGACACGTGTTGGCCGCTTGAAGGCGGTGGTGGGCTGGAAGTTGAAGTCACCGTATCCGTCTATAGTGACACTCTGTGCGTCGATTCTGCAATGCCGGTACTTGCATAAGCCTTGCTGCAGGAGGGTCCCCTTTGATCCTGAGTATCGGGAATGTACAACGTATGTAGCCGGTAGCCAGGCGATAAAGATTACCATTTCCTGAGAAGAGGAGGGAAGTTTCAGTCGGTAGGCCCGAGCTGTGTCGTGATCAGCAAGAGAGGCAATGGTAGTAGGTCTGCTGTAGTGCGCCGCCGGAGGTGAGGTTGCTCAGCTTGCGATCGGTAATCACTCTACATCAGATACTCGCTATTCTAATGTCATGTCGGGGATTTTTGATGACTAGCTTCTACACCGGTAAGCAGCGACTCTGACCAACGCGGAGGCTCGGACGACTGAATACGAATAAGTCGCAACACATCCATTTCGCATGTATTGCTTGACTGTAGGTGTAGACCGCGCGCGGCGGCTGACTGAGGCGTGGTTGGTGATATCAATGCGTCTAGGAGACGATGGTGCATACGAAGTATATATATATATATAGGTATATATAGAATTACCTTGATTTGGTAGCGAGGAACTAGTAAACAACCGCACAACCTCCCTCTCCCCCTTTTGCCACACCTGCAAAATCGTACAATCGTCGCCCCTTGAATCTGTGAGCGAGACCGAGGTTATTGAAGTCGAGAAATTCGGTATGCACCTGTTGCGAGAAGCAAGTTGCGAGAAACAGGCAGCCACCTGCTGGGAACCTGAGCCCGTGCCTGGTAGCCGGATGCGAGCCCGAGAAGAGCGAGAGCTGCATGATTGCGCGTCAGGGCCTGTGAATTGATGATTGGTATTTTCAGTATTTGTCATGTCTCTATAGAGTTTGCGTGCCCATCGGCATCTGGGCTGAGTCTTGGGCGCTATTCAGGCTGGAAGGGTGATCGCTCGTGCGCACCGTCGAGGAATCCAATTTAGTAGTCTGACGGGCCGTGCATCAGTGATACATAGTACATACCGAGGTATCAGATACTTTTGAATCTTGTTTCTAGAAGTACGGTAGTTCACTTTAACCGATCGCTCTTTTACAGTAGTATCAGCTGGGACATGGGTGCGAAGGGCGGAGTCCTGAACCCAAACACAATTGAAGATGGAAAAGGGTGGCATGCCGACAGGGCGGAAGGCATGCAATATCGCGACGAAAGTATCAAGCTCGATTCCGTACAGAATGAGGCCATTCCGTATGATGAGGATCAGGGTCTGGCCTTGTTGGCACGAGAATGGAATTTTGAATTCCGTAATGACCGGAGTCTTAAAGTTTCAAGTCATGAAAGCTTCGCAAGCTCTCGGGCTGCCTCGCCTCGTGGTTGAGGTGGCCCAGTGCCGTGCCGTGCCATGCCATGCCTTTCTCCTTTCTTGGCCCAACATCATGGTACTTGTGCAACGACTTGTTTACTAGGGACTGGTTGACTTGTTTACTTGTTTACTGACTTGCTTGTTTACTTACTTACTTGGCCCTTGCTTATTGTAGGAATGTACGGTACTCTGTACGGCGTACAATACCGGTACGTACGCGCACAGCTCCCTGTGTCTATTTATATCGGCCGCATGCATATATCGTGCATATACTGCGTACTACTACTACTACTACATAATGTCTATCGGAAAGTCAAATCTGCCGTTCTGTACCTCTGTATACTCTGCATCGCTTCCTCGCTGACCATGAACTAAGTAACTGACCAGTCCCAACGACTTCGAAGTACCGGTACTCGATTGCTTCTGTCGTTCGCTCACCGCCATATCTCTCTCTGCAAACCTTCTGGGATCTCTCCGTAACTCAGCCAGTACGGGGTACAGTACGGTATGGTGGTACTAGCAGGACTAGCAGGACTAGCAGGACTAGCACTATACTACCGTCCTATACTACGGTACCGGTACTATACTTAGTACTTCCACTTGCCTATCGCTGAACAAGCCCTATCGCCGATCACAGACAGAGCCTATCGCCATTGCGGGAACGGATCTTGGAAGGACGGAAATCGACCGTGTCAGGGTCGTGGTCAGGGTCGGGGTCAAGGTCCAGGTCCAGGTCAAGGTCAAGGTCAGGATCAGGATCAGGATCATTCATGTTGGCCACGCTGCGATTGGGCGGCTCGAGGCTCAAGTTTCAAGTCTTTGTCATGAGGGCTGAAGGATCTCTTGAATCATTTCTTGGCCCAGCAGTCGGGCAACAAACACACAACACCAGTCTGGCAGCAACACCAGATCGACCACCGACCCTTTCACGAACGCGGCATCTTTGAAATGAATCATGAGCGTGAGATTGGCTTTAGCTGTGCATGCTCGCTGCTTCCTTCGGCCCTTTACCTATCTATCTGACTTGCCTGAGAAGTTGCCGGGAGAAGAGAGCTGGCTGGCTGGCTGGCTGGCTTTGTGCTCTTTACCTTACCTTCTCACCGCTTGCAAGTCTGCTGCTGACCTTGCTTCTGCTTTTGGCGGATCAGATATCTCCAGATGGATTTGCCCACAGGCTGAGGTGATGGCAAATTTGACTTTTTATCTTACACTGCGCTCGTGCTCCTTACCCACTCCGTATACAGTACGTACTGTCGGTTCCCTACTGTACTGTACTGTACTGTACGGTACGGTACGGCACTGTACGGTACGGTACGGTACTGCATTGTACCGGGAAATTCCTAGAGACTTCCGCCCCTGAATCCTCGACATGGAGATTCCTGGGCCGCACGTGGGATATTCAAAAGCCGATGTACTAGTACTACTACTACTACGGCTGCTATACTACCTACAAGTAGTAGTACTTCCTCCGGAATCCGTACGGACATGCTTGAGGCTCTTGCAATCCCTGGCTTCTGCATGTCGGCCCGCCGTACGGAGTATGCACGGACAGGAGTTCCAGGCTTCCTCCATGGTGACTGGAGACGGAAAACAGAGGTCCGTAAGTACAAGAAAATATCCGCGGAAAGCTTGGAGGCCAGCTGAGCCCCCCTACTCACTTCTACACCCAGTACCGGGAGTCGTACCTACAGTACAGAGTACAGAACGAGATCAAAGATTCATAGCGGATCTATCTTGTTCGGCGGGACTTCTCCCTGCCGGACAAAGTATTGCTGGCCCACTGACAGCAACGTTACGTTGTACAAGTGCCATCTCACAGGACCCTAACGGCTTCTCGCTTGGGATTGGGAAGACGCAGAACATTAGAAATCTTCTCGAAGGACGCCAAACCCCAAACCCCAAACCCCAAATTCCAAATTCCAAATTCTAAATATAGGAGTAGCAGTAGTTGTAGGAATAGTACTACGTCGTCCGCATTCGCGAGTTCTATGCAGGCCACCATCATCGCCGTCGGGAAACCTGGAGAGGTCTCCGAAAGAAACGAATTTCTGTGACCAACCCTCCCAACGGTCGGTACCTAGGTATCTTCTGTGTGGTTCACAACTCACCATGGATCTACCGGTACTCGATCATCATAATCCAGAAATCGGCACGGTCAACGCAAATTCCTCCTCTGATGCTCAGTACCCAAATATTCTTCCTGTATATCCTCCGCTGACTCCTGAGCTGCCACCTACCGGTATCATGACGTCGACTTTTACTTAGAGGCCGTGGGTTCTGTCGCCCATGTCTATTTATCCGCATATCGGGCTTAAACTTTGACTTACTCACTTACCCTCCTCCCGAGATTTCGAGGGTATGCAAGTGGCACTGTGGCACTACAGGCAGGACCTAGTTGTACCGTACCTAGGTACCCTACCCGGCTCGGGATTTGCTTCAAAATTGTACTGTAATCGAGAAATTCGAGAGGAAAAAAACAGTATGCAGGCGGCATCACTACAGTAGATAGTAGGTACGGTAGTATTTTCCTGCATGGAGCAGCAGGTGGATTTGGCTGGGCGGCCCACTCAAATAGTAGGTTGAGGCATGCGAAAAACAACTCCACAATGTTCGAGGCATGGAAAATAATCGGGCATGCCGGAGATGTTACCGATCAGCGGGTCGAGTGAAAGACTGCAAATAAGGGTACAGCAGAGTAGGGCGGTCAAAAGCTTAATAAAGCTCCCTGCGAATAGAAGAAGCATATGAATAATTTACGGACATTGCGCTGCCCGAAAACTCCGCGGAAGGCTAATCAATCCTAGGTGAATCCTAGAATATATTTCACAGCTGGGCGACTTCAGATTGCAGTGGATGCGAACAACATTGCCCGACAAGTTGCAGAGTACCGGTCCCAGAATAGTATGAGGCCTCACCCAACTTTTCCATGGCGAGCTGACCCGTGGAGTTCGATTGATGTTCCTGATATGCGTAGTACGTTCGTATGAGGAGAATAGAGCTTGTGTGGTGTTTGGGCAAGATCTGCACTTCAAGCACACTCGCTTGATATGCTGGGGCATACCAAGCTGCCCTTTGCATATCCGTAAACAGGCTATTTAGAAGTAGTACTAGGTACTCACAGACCAAAGAGTCATTCAGCCGGCAGGAGAAGGGGGATGACAAGAAGACAAGACGGCAAGACGGATGGCTGGCTGAGAACAACAGTCGAGAGCATCCAAGGATATACGTAGTAGTTGTATTGTACTGGACTAGTAGTACTCTGTAGATCAAGTACAAGTTACAACTAATTAGTCGATTTTACTACTACGGCGTACAAGTACGATGGTACTTAGCCCCCAGTTTTGCCTTGGCCATCACCTACGCAGTCCAACCCCTAACCTTGAGCGCATCGTTTCGTTTCGCTCACCCAGGACAGCTCTGGGGGCGGAGTCAAGCACTACCTTGAAGATGATAGCCGTCTGCGTCGCACAGCACATACTACGTACTAGTACAACTACTACCACTTGTAGTAATGCTTGAAAGGCCCGCAAACTCTGCCTGCCATACCATGCCATTCATGTCATGTCATGTCAAGACAGATACCAGGCAGCAGAATCTTGCTGTCAAGTCATATCATGGATCCCCCGGACAAACAACGATTCAACTGAATGTAGTCCCGGCACTCGTGCATGTTCAACTGCAGTGGAATGAATGTCCAAGTCTAAGTCAAGCGGATGCGGGATCAGTGGCGTGGATGTCAGAGCATGACGGGCCACTGTTTTAAAAATAGCAAAACCTACCGTTAACCTTCCTCCGTACTCTCTCAACCTTACCCTTTGTGCTACCTGATCCGAGCCGAGTACCTAAGTACATGCTTGGTACTAGCGCCTCTTCTGATCTTCGCCGCCTCGGATCCCGACCTGACCGCGCTGCAGCAGCCCAATCAGTCATGGATCCTGGACTGGAACCCAGCACCGATCAGTTAGTTCAGCTGCTTGTTCCGGCAACGGCAGACATTGAGTTATGTTTTACAAATTATTTCTGTAATCGATCAAGTACGAGTTTTTCTTTTTCTTTCTGGATGCCCCCACCACCCCTGCATTGTTTGTCTACAAGCTCGCTTAAGGTTCCGATACCCCTATTGGAAGTACTCGACGGTAAATTTCGCCTTCTGAGGTACCTTTTCAGGCCTAGGGGCTACTCTGAACGTTTAACCGCCCCAAGATCGACCCCGGCGACCAAGATTATGTGCGTACCGTACCTTTGCTGCCGCTACTCGAGTAGATTTCTACATCACGGGCCACTTGCTCAGATCCGCGGCCGGCTGATGCTGGCTAGAGAGATCATCGCTCGTGCCTGGTTATGGACTCAATTATTACTCCGTACAATTACGGACTGTTTTATCTACCTTCTTTACCTACGCATCTCGACAAGCCTGTCCACTCTACCCTTACAACCTGGTTAATCATTGTCATTCTGAACCCCCTTGGCCCCCTTCTTCTCCCCCCCCGTCCCCCGTCCCCCCTCCACCCTCCACCCTCCACCCTCCCTTGCCCTGCCCTACCGATACAGCAGTTCTTTCAAGCGGTATAAGCCTTAGCCACTCTCACGGACCTTTCCTCTCTCGGCGATTCTGCCACCATCATGCATTTCTATTAAGTTGCTCGCATCGCCAGTCGGCCAAACATGTTCCAATCTTTGCAGGATCATTGCAACTCGTCCAAGAAAATCCGGTCCACCGCTCTCCTCCGCTACATTCGCTTCGGGCATCACTTTTAGGAAGTCCTCGCTGGCTCCTGTCATTCGCTTTTGCGTTGCGTAGCCCTCTCACTCGGCCCGCCTTCAGCAAGCCTTCGAAGGGCATCGTCCCTTTCGTAGCCTTCACTAGACTCACTTTGGTTCCCATTCCCAAGAGCAACTGTGATACGATACCTTCTAGTCCAGGGCCTGCGGCTACGGCTTCGAAAGCACACACAGAGCTCATGACTACTTTTCCCCGGCTCAACCGATAAACCATCGAGATCGGAGGACGGTTACATTGCCTTCAGCCGCTGCCACATCCGTCACGGTCTGTGTCTATATAGGAGAGACCTCACTCAGCCTTACCTCACTCGCTCGAGGGATACATATACCCAGCAGCCTCGGAATCGACGACACATCTGGTACCTGATCTGCTTGCTATTCCTTCTACGAAAGTCCAACTTCCGTCGCTACCCGTTGGACAATCTCAAGATTAGAAGCATCGCCGACGGCTTTCACTCGTTCAAGCCTTGACGTCCTCTTTCTTTCTTTTGATCTTTCAGATGGCTGGCCCCGGGGGTGGACCTCCTCGTCGGAGGTATGTCATGCCGTTGTGCGGTGCGGTGCCAACGTGGTTACTGACAGGCATATAGCCATACCAAGTCCCGCAAAGGCTGCGAGACTTGCAAGCGGAGACACATCCGGTGTGATGAGAATTTCCCTCAGTGGTAAGCTCTCGGAGTTAGAAGTTAAACAGTATGCAAAAGTTAATTTGACGCAGCCGAAACTGTACCAAGCACAGCTGCCGGTGCCCTTACATGGACATGCCAGTTCAAGAGGACCGAGCAGCCACGCCCGAGAAGGCCGATTTGTTATGGACACCGGAAATCGAGGCAGAGATTGAACGCTGGCAGCAGACTGGAAGCTTCCCGTTCCCCGATCTATACATCCACCCGGCACCCGCTCCTCAATTCTTCTCCTTCGAAGATCTGCGTCTTATCCACCATGTCGCGTCGGTCTATAGCGAGCTTGGGATCCACGACGCGGGCAACTTCACCATCTGGACTCGTCAGATCCCACTGTAAGTGGCAAGCTTTTACTGCCCAGAACAGGATTAACAGCATCTAGTTTCCTCAAAATCGGAACCGACTATGCATTCGTGATGCACGCATTGCTGGCGCTCTCTGCAAATCACATAGCCTGGTTGACCGATTGCCCGCTCACCGCGAACATGGCCTACGAGCACCGCGGGATTGCCTTGAAGGGGCTACATGAGGCGATCGGAACCTTCTCCAGGCAGAACTCGGATGCAGTCCTCGCCGCCTCCTTGCTGCTATCATGGCAAGCGACTGAATGGTCGGTCAATCTGACCTCATCTTGTGTTACCTATTGCTGACTTGGATGTACGCAGGCGTGGCTGGACACAGCTGATGCACGGGACCTCATCCGTATGTACTGTACTGTAACATTGTGTGACAGTGTTGAAAATCTGCCGAGGAAGCAGCTAACCGTCTGACTGACAGGTCATCGATGCTATGCAGCCTTGGGAGAAAGAATCTCAGTTCGGGGACTTCATTGCCGAACAGAGCACATTTCCCACTGCTCCTCCTTCACCATCTCCGGGCTCTAACGAATTGAGTAGCCCGCGCAAACAGGACCTGGAATCCTTACAACAGGCGTATGTGCAACTCCAGAAGGTCGAGATTCACTTGCGGGACAACGGTGAGGATGTGAAAGCCATCCAACAGCTTATGAGCTTCGTTCGCGGCGTTCGAAAGGTATCAGCCAGTCATACCGCTGCTCAACGATTCGAAATGCTGAACCCCCTCCGCGCTTGGTTGTTTTGGCTCCCAGTCATGTTCTTGCAGCAGACCAGAGGGTCTCCGTCTGCCTTGGTCATACTGGCTCACTTCTACACTATCGCCCTCGTCGTCGAGCCCTTGTTTCCAGAGGTTGGTGCAGCCTACTTCGGCAGTCTGTCACTGGGACCAATTGAGGAGATTGCCCGAAGGTTGTTTTCAATCAACGTTTCCCAGTCTTCGGACTCGGACATGCAGACTCCGCTTCACCTCATGGAGTATCCCATCGATATGGTCTCGAGATTCCGAAGCCGGATGGGATGGGTTCAACCGGAGAGGACTGCGTCCTTCCCAACCTTCCATGGCCACGAGTTTGGGATGGGCGAGACCTATTCCTCCACGATTCCAGTATCCCCGTATGGCAACCCAGCTTTCGCGTACTCTCAAGAACACCTTATGACCATGGCCCCGGACCCAAGTTCTGCTACGGCCATGAGTCCCATCCCGCTGGATCCGTTCACCAATCAGTACCTGGGCGTCCCGTCTCCCAGTGGATTCGGGGGATACCACAGCCCAGCAAATTCAACCTTTGGAGAAGCATCATCCGTCGGATATTATTCTGATCAGGCCGACGACTTTGCTCTCTATGATGGACAAGCGTCAAATTACGGCGGACACCAGGGGTTTGTGCTTCCGACCACCGTGTGGATCTGATTATCGAACGAAGAGTTTAACATCGCGCCCAGGATACCACCAGCCTTCAACTTCGAGCCTCGCTCATCCGAAGAGCAGCTGCAGATGCAATTCCAGCCCCATTCTTATGAGCAACAAATAAAACCAGAACCGCAATCCCAGGAGCCAGGGATGCAGATACAGCAATTTCGTCGAATTCCACACATATCCAGCGTTTCTCCTCCCGATCCTTCTCGCAACCCTTCACCGTCCCACAGCAACTGGAAAGGCAAAGAACGCGAGACTTGAGACCTACCACACCCCCTTCTAATAACGCTTGTCCCTTTGAGGCGCCACGAATCTCTCCACAACAAGCTTTCCCCCTAATTTACGACTCTCCTTTATCACACTCTTTGTCTGGCGACATTACGACCTTTATGATATCTTGTTATGATATTCGTGTATGAATACATATTCACGGTCCCTACGAACAATATACCTCTGCATATGCATGGAAACCGGCGCTTTGGAAGAGCTCGCGAGCTCGGGGATAGCATTTGATGGGATTGTTTTGTTTTTTTGGATTACCTTGGCGTTGGAAACAGCGGTTGTTTGAAATGCATTTATGCGCGCATCTTTGCGTCACCATACGCTACGTTATGTAGAAAGAATCGAGCTTTGGCTTGCTCTTCATTGTTTTATGCGAATCCAGGCTCTAAGTCCATGTCTATGTTCAAGGGAAGTTGTGAAGTTCACTTCGAGAAACCCCAGCCAACACCTGTGCAACGTGAATGCTAATCTTTTTTACACTGCTAGCCCATCTATCGTCACCTGTTTATCCTTCACCGTCTTCCGTATTCCCATGCCGTAATAGATCACCAATTGAATTCATATCACGTGCATTACAAGTAGCGCGAATCCCGGCCCACCAAGGTACGCGTCTCATTTATCCTTGTGTCGAGGCTCCAGACTCCAGAGCAACAACTCCAGCCACGATACATCACAGACCGCTGCCAAAAAATGTCTGGTGGTTGGAATACAAGTCAGTATCTCTCATCCCTTGCCACGGATCGTGAATTAATACGTTGACAGTTGAATCCGATGCAGTTCGTAGCTATGAAGACCATGCAATAATCACTGCCTGCCACTGACCTCTGCTAGGGTGTCTTCACCTTTCTGCTCGACCATCTGGGGGTCAAAGATGTACAGTTTGAAGAAATGATCACACTCGATGCCGATGAGTTGCGCCAGCTCGGTCCGGTCTACGGCGTCATCTTCCTCTTCAAATACCCCACGGGCGAGAAGGCCAACACGGATGGAACCCCCAAGGACGGTAAATACGACTATGCGGCCGCCGAAAACACCTTCTTCGCTGCGCAAACCATACAGAATGCCTGCGGCACACAAGCTCTTCTCTCCGTGCTCCTGAACAAGACGGATGTGATCGATGTTGGTGTACCGCTGAGGGAGTTCAAGGATTTCACGTCGGGCTTCCCGGCCGAGTTCAGGGGCGAGTGCTTGAGCAACAGCGAGTTGATCCGGGATGTGCACAATAGCTTTGCGAAGAGCAGTCCTTTTGTGGATGAGACGCAACGGACGGCTTCGGACGATGACGACGTGTATCACTTCATTGCGTATACGGCTATCAATGGCATTCTCTACGAATTGGACGGTCTCCAGCCAGCCCCTATCGCACACGGTGCTAGCACATTCGAAGAGTTCCCAGAAAAAGTCATCCCGGTACTGCAAAGAAGAATCGAGAGGTATCCCGCCCATGAGATTCGGTTTAATCTGCTGGCTATGGTAAGAGACTTGCGGGTTCGGGCGAGGGAGACTGGGGATGTGGAGATGCTATTTAGGGAAGAGCAGAAGAGGAGGGATTGGCAGTTTGAGAATGCGCTGAGGAGACATAACTTCGTGGGCTTTGCTGGGGAAGTGTTGAAGGGTGTCATGGGGGAGAAACTGAAGGAGGGTCCAGAGGCTTATACCAGATGGATCAATGAGGCGAAGAAGAAGACGAAGGAGCGGTCGGATCAGGGGAAGAGGAGAGGCGATGAGGACGAGGAGATGGCAGGTTGAGAGGCGGTGATAGTTTGATAAAAGCTATTGAGGCCAGTGGAGGCGCAACGATATCCGGGTTGAGCACCATGGGTTGGTTGGGCTTGCGGCATGGGGATTATTTCTGGTTGGAGGGAAGTATGCAGAACTGTGCAGCTGTGCGTAATATGCTGGTATAAGCGGCTCGATCAAGGAAGACGAGATTCAGAGCTATGCATTGAGCTGACTCCCAGAGTCTACTCTTGCTCTGGAAGTAGGTTGGCTCCGCTGTGGTGCGACTCTCTTGCGAATTAACTCCAAGCGATTAGAGATCCGGACTTTTGCTGTGCTCTGCCTACCGTACCTCAATCATTAATCTAGAGTAGGACTCGTCAATAGAAGGAGTGTTATCTGAATCATCTGCTGGAATGACTTCTCTTCCAAAGTTGAAACTACTTGCGTGTGGCGGTTATTCTTAGATGGTGGTACTGAAACGGGCATCTGACACGGAAGTTCTGGAACCAACAAAGCTCAGAGCAGAGCAGGCCAGAGAGAGGGAATGCAAGCAAGCAAGGTGCACACTTCCATCGATGCCAGCTTATTTGCCAAAGTCGATAATCTCGTGGATTTATATTTATTATCGATTTTAATTCGGCAAGTTCCGCACTTGCCCTAAGTTCCACATATTCTGCGAACGACGGCAGTGTCTTCGTGTGACGCTATCCACCCCAGTGGGCCTAGACTTGCCTGATCTCCTCTTGACCCGATCACTTCTTTCGTCCAGACAACCTCGAACAACAATAACAACACCACCCTCGTCCACGACAAACCCCATCGTCGAGGATTGACAAGTGACTCGCTGGGCGAGAAAACCGGCTCACCGCACTCTATCGCATCTCTTTCCTTTGTGGCAGGAATCTCGCGGACGCAGGCAAGGCAGACGAGGAACATCGATAAAACAACGAGCACGATGGAGGACCAGCTGCGGGGAAAGATGATGCACACGACGTTCTCTACCTCTCTTATAGCTCCCACGTCAACAACCCTCCCATCGCTCGCCGACGATGTCTCCGATAAGATCCAGGCGCTGCTGGCTCTGCAGACGATGACTTTCAAGCCGACCGACAGCGAGATCCGCATTGAGAACGACAGCACGATCAACGGCGTAATGATAGGTCTGCTGAGCTCCTTTGGAAGCGCCATGCTCATCGCCCTGATCTTTTTCGTCGTCTACTTCTTCAGGTACACTAGCAGCGGACGCATTTTCCTGGATCGGATGGGGAGGCCGGGAGAGTTTGATGATGAGCAGGCATATGCGAGGGAGGAGGCGGAAGCCCTGGAGGGAATGGACGACTTGCAGAGGACAGAATATCTGAGGGCTAAAGGTATGTCTACGCAGTGCATCCAAGGCTGTATCTCCGATGAGTATAGGTGCTGATTAGAACTCTGCAGCGTTCATTCAAGCGAACCCTCCAGACTCGTTACCAACCGATATTTCATTGTCTCAGTATTTGGCGATTCAAGAGAAGGGTGTCTCAGCATGGGAGTTCGAGCCAGAGTTGGAAATTGCCAACTGTTTCGTGGAAGGGAGGACCGAAATCGAGTTCTTCGACTCGGAATGCTCAACGTTGACGAACCTACCGATACCGAAGCAGAACGAGGTGTACTACTGGGAATCGAAGATATACGATAAGCCGGAGTCGACTTTGATTAGCATAGGTGTCGCTACGAAGCCGTACCCCTTGTTCAGACTACCCGGTACGATGAACTACTTTGTGAGGGGAACGCTTTGGACTAACGAGGTGTGTAGGCTGGCACAAGTATTCCGTTGCATACACGTCAACTGGGCACCGCAGATATAATCAACCTTTCAGCGGGCCAACATATGGACCGCAGTTTGTTCAAGGAGATGTCATTGGAGTAGGATATCGCCCTCGAACTGGGACCATATTCTTCACCCGGAACGGCAAGAAGTTGGAAGATGTTGCCCACGGCCTCAAATCCCACAACCTGTTCCCCGCTGTCGGAGCAAATGGTCCCTGTACGGTGCACGTCAACTTTGGACAATCGGGCTTTGTCTTTATCGAGGCAAATGTTAAGAAGTGGGGCCTCGCGCCCATGACCGGCAGTCTTGCTCCACCCCCTCCATATGGCAGCGAACAAGGTAGCATTTTGCTGGAAGCAGGAAGGGAAGGAGCTCAAAGCAGCCAAGGACATTACCCCGACACGAGACACGGACGGACGAGGAGTGGGAATTTCAGGTACGGACCTCCTACGAGTCCGGGACCAGTTCGCTCGCCGACAGATATTTCACTTGCGCACCTCACCCACTTCCCTTCCAACGACGGATCAGGAGAGTCGAGTGCAGCACAAGCCGTCTCAACTCCCGAGCATGCAACTACCACAGTCCAAAACGTCGGACTTGGTGTATCCGAGCCACCGCCTGAGTACACCAGCCCTCGCCAATCAAACGCAAACAGCCCCCGGGGAAGTGTGGATAGTGAGCGGGCCCCCTTAATTAGGCGAAAGAGCACGCCTCCACCAATACCTACCTACAATGACGCTGTAGCTGAGGACCGGGCAAGGGAGCGGGCTCAGAGCCAGAGTCAAACTACTAGGGGTCGGATTGACAGCAACCGGGGATCTGGATCTAGATGACGAGTCAGGGGGTACATATGACCAATAGTCGAGCAACTTAATTTTACGGGCTCAGCTCGCACGATATGGACTTGTATGGTGTTCGGTGGGAAGGGAAGGGGTGGGGTTGGGTGGGATGGGGGGGGGGGAGAGGGGGGGGTTTGCTTCTGGACAGGAAAGGACAACATTTTGCTTTCTAGCGTGGCTGTTGGGGATCGGGCTTCCATTTTTCACAGAAACCATGTTTGGCGTTTGGTGTTTCGATTCAAATGCACACGGGTTCGAAGTCGTATATCCTTTATCACTTTGAGGTGCGGGATGGTCTTGCGGACGAGGTGTTGATGGTAGTGTAGTTGTTGTGCCGAGGGGAGTGGCTCAATGCGAGGGCTTAGGATAGAGGCAAGCGAGGTGGGAGGAGGGCTGGATGTAGCATATACATACACACAAAGACAAGAAAGACAAGAAAGTTCTTTTGTAGATGCCCTTGCATCCTCGAGTTACTCCTTGCGTGGACCCAGCGTATACCATCCCTCGAGTGGTACGCGCCCATCTCGACAAGCAGGCGTGGCTTCCCAATCCAGAGAGGAGCGGAGCGGCGAGGCGAGGCGAGGCATTCCCGTATCTGGACTAGCGTCGAATACGAGTGAGTATTAAACCCTCCCCACATGAAGGGATATCGGTTCGTCTGTTGTTGTGTGAAGGTAGCGAGAAGCGGCTGTCGTGTTGTGTTGAGTTGTGTTGAGTTGTGTTGTGAAAAAAAAAAGGAACCAATGCCTCCAAATCACGATTCACGTCAAGGGTATCTGTCTATCTATCGATCTGTCAATCGTCGCTTCATTGTCTCGTTGCGTCTAGATGTAAGAACATCATCAGAGCTGAAGCAGGCTGTCACAGCCCGCCGTCGTGGCATCACTTCACATCACCATCACCATCCACCCCGAGAGCTCTTTTCCACCCCCTGGCCCCCCACGCCGGATCCCTCCACAGACCATACATAGATCATGAATCGCTCAAGTGGAAATCTCCGTTTCGATCGCCATTTCCGTCTCCGCCTTCGTCTCCATTTCCGTCTCCGCCTCCGTCTCCATTTCCGTCTCCGCCTCCGTCTCCGGCCTTCGTCTCCAGCCTCAGACCGCTCGCCTTCCACACCTGGCTCATCTCCCACGGTTTCATGCCGCTGTCGAGCCGCTCGCCTCGCTCGAGACTGCGCACTACCCGCTTGTCGCGGAGGAGCCTCCGGTTCCACTTCTTCCAGCCTCTCATTCCCACCTGAGTCCCCCCCCGCCAAAAAGTCAGTAACGGAATACCCTCGTACGTAAGGTAGGTTAGACAAGACGGCTTTTGCGACGAGGAATTGAGAAGGAGAAGGAGAAGGAGAAGGAGAAGGAGAAGGAGAAGGAGAAGGAGAAGGAGAAGGAGAAGAAGGAGAAGAATAGGAAGAAGAGGGAGAGGGAGAGGAAAAAGAAAACATACATGGGTAGCCAGCCTCCAGCACTCCAGCTTCCGCTGCAGCGCCCTCAGACTCCTCAGCTGCGCCAGGTAGGCCTCCTTCTCCTCGGGCGCGTCCGCCAGCCGCTCGGCGAGGTTCTCCCGCCACCGGGGCTGCGCGCGCGGCGCGGCCTCGAAGCCCGGGCGGTGGTGGGCCTCGACCCGGTCTTTGCTCCAGGCGACGGAGCGGTGGCCGCGGAGCGTCTTGCGCGACCTGGAGGGGGGGAGGGGGGGCCGCGGGGAGAGGCTGCCTTGCTCGGGAGAGAGGCGGCGGGTGAGGGGCTGGGCGAGGACGACGAGAGTGGTGAGGGGAGGGAGGAGACGAGGGTGGGTGGTGGTGAGTGAGGCCGTCGATGGTTGCGGGATGGGGATCATCACTGTCGACCGCGAAGGAGGGGGCTTCTTGGATTTCCGTGGTGGAGGGGATGGTTGTTGTTTCTTGAGAGAGGTGTGGTGGGCTTGGACCGGCAGCATGGCTTTTGGGGGTTTCCCTCCGGATTGCGATCGGGTTCGTGGTGTCATTGCGTGCGTGGCTTTTGCGTGGTGGTGGTGGTGATCGTGGTCGTGGTCGTCGTGGTCGTCGTGGTCGTCGTGGTCGTCGTCGTTGTTGTTGTTGTAATGAAGAGAAAATACCTTCCCAGCAATGATGACCTTGTGAAGTCAAGAAGGTGGGAGCAGAGCGCGGGATGTAAACTCGTGATCACGACGTAAGCTAGCTAGCCATTGAGAAACCGCATGCGTTGTGATATTCACATTCATATTGTGTCCAGGCTCGCCCCGTTGCTATTGTCGTCTGCAGACTGCCGAAAGGGGGCCTCGCTTAATCAACACCTGATTGATTGGGCTTGCCGCCATCGACCGAACTCTCTCTCTCTCTCTCTCTCTCTCGGACCCCACTCACCCCCCTCCTTCTCTACTGGACATGGAGTGAACAGAGAAGTAAGTCACTGGGCTGAGCGGGAATTTCCCCCCCTCTATCTAGAGAGGTGATTTCATCACATCAAAATGCCGTGCCAAGCCCCACAGAACCCCCGACTGACGAGTCAACATGGTCCGGACCTACCTGCGTTGCTACGTAGCAGCTCGCTCACCTTTGCTTACTTGCTGAGATAGACGCGGCTTGTATTGACGTGGAATTCGGATTACCAGCTGACTAAGGCAGGCAGCTAGGGATTTGAATTAACCTTGTGATTGAGCTCTGGAGATCTGGAGATTGGAAGTTGCCTCTCTCTCTCTCTCTCTCTCTCTCTCTCTCTGCCAGAACACCTACCCTGAATCAAGATGGAGAAGTGGCGATCATATTATCTGAAGCTGGCGATCGAATCTTTTCAAGTCTTTATTCCACACTCGCCAATACTTTGCTACCTCAAGACTTGGAAGTCTAAGTGAGATTCTGTGGCTGCTGTATGAGGATAGTGTTGACCATCTATGCCAGTATTCCTGGGCCAATTTTCAAAATCAGAAGCCTAGACTCCCTACCAGCATTATCTCTCAATATACCAAAATCACTGGCAGTGTGGCACCCTGGAGATGTTGCTGCAATCTTATTTGTACAGCTGGATGATGAAAAGACTCAAGCCTTTCCATTCCGCATCGGCACGTCCGTGAGCATTCGTTTCAATAACCCAATCCAGCCTCCCTTTGATCCTATTAATTCCAACCCACACCACGATAGCCATAGTTCCGACACGGAAACTAACTCCATCGCTCCCAAAAAAATGCAAGCCCTTCCCGGTACGTTTTCCCCAGAACTCCCATGTGCCGCGCTCTAAAAATACAAGGATTGCCCGGAGCTCGACATGATGAACTCGCAACCCAAACCAATAACCTCTTCCAATTCTTGCAATTCCTTCAGTATGATTTCCCCAGCATTTGGTCCATCAACGAGGTTTTCTTTGACGTGAATGATTACTACTTTGAAACCCTTCAGAGGTTTTGTGCCATGGGGCCAATGCTTCAAATCGCTGGGTCCATCACGTGGAGGCGAAGCAATCGGATCATAGAATTCTTTGCGCGAGCCGGCGGACAATGGGCTTACGGGGCTCATTGAGATCACTCTGGCTACTTTCGCTGGGTACCCGTGGACAGGTAAGACGCCGTTGCTATCACGTTTTCTCTTGGCCGGCGACGCAAGCCCTTCGCGATGCGCGGAAACCCTCTCTGCCAGATTCTTTAGCTCGTCGATCAAGTGGTGTGGGCTCATATGACCGAAGAGCAACTCATCGGCACGACTGTTGTCATATGAACATTCGATGAGGATACCCCCCAGAGTTCCGGACACGATCTTTGGGGCAGCTTCCGCCCATACGAGGTGATTCCGTGGAGACAATGACACAGAATCTGGCTCAACATCCCCAAAGATCAAGACCTCCCTGCCTGTAGCAAAATCTCGGATGAAGTACGCAGAGCTTTCGTACACGCAGACACGTTCACGGCAATCAGTTCTGCTCGGTTCCCCAAGACCAGAAATCAGCGAGTTGTTCCGTTGCAGCATTGAAGGGCCTAGACGAGGCGATCTCTCCAAGATTGAGATATTGGGGGATCTAACAGGAGAGAAACCAGCATTCGATCCTCGATGACTGTGTCTCTCGAAGCAATGGCCATGGCTGAGCGTCAGGGTCTAGGCACCATGCGTTAGTAAGCCAGAGTCGATCAGATGCTGTTTATGAGATTGCAGTACGCAAGAACAGATCACGAATCTCGTCGCAGAAAGAGATTACTGACTTTCACGCACAGCCCATCGCAGACCTCAACATAGCCTCTACTGTCCCCTTCACCAAGAGCAACCGATCCTCCCTCTACCAATCGCATATAAGTTATCAAACCAGCACCATTGTTTTCGTCACTGAGATTCGGCCAAATGACGTTGTTGAATATGTGCGTCTTGAGAGCTTCGATGGTATCTGGCAGGCCGGCAATACGCTTTGGCCGAGCCGTAGGCAGGCTAGCAGTGTTCATGATAAAGCCAGAACAGTGGTCAAGATGTGGGTGCGTAAGAAGGAGACATTGAACAAGCTCTCGGTGGATGTAACCTGCATTTGCCCTGGAAGAGGTGTGTGGAATCTCTAGTCCCTCGAAGGGCCCATCGGTCAGGATGACAGGCTCACTGGATGACGAAGTTTGGTCCTTCGGATCAAAAGGCCGATTCTGTTTATGGGTGTCTAGTATCCGTTTGATCGCAGACATATGGACACCAGCATCGACTGCCAGAATGCTCCCCCTTTTCCAGCACGTGGCGGTAGCTCGAACGAGAAATGAGGTAACATTGTCCTCTTCTGGGCCACCTCCAGAACCCTGGAGAATTATCGGTTTAGTTAGCCTGAGTACTTCTTAGACGGACGACAGGTATAGCGGGTCCACGTCCACCACGACCCGAAGACCGAAGACCGAAGACCGAAGACCGAGCAAGACATCAGCCAGCCACACGTGACCTGAGCGGAAAATCTCCGTGCTATATAACCAACAAAGGCTTTATATGGCGACGCGGGGGAGGGGAGGGGGGCAAGCAGTGAGAACTACGGCACGAGACTCGAGAGTGACGTGAGACAGACACGCAGCCGTCGAGCGTCGATCCGAAGGGAAAAAGAAAAAGAGCTACGCTATTGCTTTGCTTTAGTTACTTACCAGAACAATTACCTGCAGGGCGGGCATCTCATGTTTCCTCCCTCCCTCAAAGCCCATGTCTCTTGGTGTCTTGGATGACGATAAGGCGTTGGTGAGTGCTGGGTCGAGGGCTCGGGCTCGTGCTCGTGCTTATATGCAAAGTCCCGGAGGCGGAGGGGTTGTGTTACTCGAGTAGTGGACGAAGGGGGAGCTGAGCGCAGGAGCTGGATGGGCAGAAAGAGGCTACACGTGACTCTTTGTTGGCCTTGGTCGAGTCGAGAACAATAGAATGGCTGAAAACGATGATGGAACGTCAGGAAAGCCGAGAGAGAGTGAGAGCGAGAGCGAGCGAGCGAGAGAGAGATAGAGAGAGAGTGAGAGTGAGAGTGAGAGTGAGAGAGAGAGAGAGAGAGAGATAGAGAGAGAGAGATAGAGAGAGAGATAGAGAGAGAGAGAGAGTGAGAGAGGGAGAGAGAGAAAGACAGTTTGGCCTGCCTTTTCTCTCCCACAAACAAGGGGATGGGAAAGAACATTCGGTAGATGGAAAATCCTTTCGCCGAGCCATCCCTCCCCTCCCTTCCCTTGTCAAGATATACATTGGCTCCACTGTACTGTAAACCTTGGCCATTCTGTCGCCAAATACCAGTCGAAAAAGCATCAGCGAGAAGAGCGGGCATTGCCCATATCGTAATGTATTTGGCTTCGGCGAACACGGAATGCTAATATTCACGTAGCATCTTGATCAGCAACATCAACATAGGAGGCATATATAATTTCGCAGTTGACAATAGCCAGACGCTGCCCGTGTGATGTTGTTGCACCGAGGCACAATAAATCCTGACTGAAGGCTTGAATTCTTTTGGTAATGAAGGATGCGAGGCATTCTTCTCTGTCAAGAACCGACTCAGAGGCATGTGCCACTAGTGCTACTTTGACTGAAAGGTATTTCAAAAAAGAAAAAAGAAAAAAGAAAAAAGAAAAAAAAAAACTTATTTACGTCTAACATATGCAATATTGTCTTGGTCTAACTGGTGTACAGGTACCATATTACAACGACATGGTCGCTTCATGATGATTGGTCTCGTTATGCACAACCGTACCCATGCTCCCCCCCCCCAAAGACGCAGACACCTGTTCTACGCCAGTAATCGATCGAGATAATCCAATAATCATTATCAATGTACACGCTTGCTGATTTACCATTCATCATGCCATCCGGTTCTCAGCGCTGGCCCGTTAGGTTCATGTGCATGATAGCTTCTTTCTTCCAGTCATCTTCGTCGTCGTCGTCATCGCTCGAGGCGTTCAGGACCCTGAGTCCACCTCCACCTGTACCTCCACGCTGCTGACTGGGCAGACTCCAGATATCCCCCTCTCGCCCTTCCACCGCGGGCAGAGTCACCTGAGGGCTGTTTGGCTTTGGTCCAACTCTGGGCGGAGCCGATTTTGGGGAACTACCCGGCGTCTCAAAGCCAGGGACTTGGAACGCATGGCTGCTGTCCGAGAAATTGGTTCTTTCGGACGGATACTCATTCCCTTGCAGTTCAAAGCGAGCTTCTGTTGGCGTACTATCGCTCTTGGTAGAGGTGCCGTTTTCTTTCCCCGGTGAAATATTATCGTCATTATACTTCGTCGCTGGCATCTCCGAGATCCCTGTGGGCAAAGGAGCGAATTTATTCTGAGCCTGCATCTGATTGCGATCCCATTCACGTTTTTCGACGATCTGCGGAGCAGACTCAACGTGACGAAGACTGCTCGCAACCATACTGCCATTTCTGACACTCCCAACACCGCTTCGAGGCTCCAAAGCCTCAGTGACATCCGACAAGCCAGAATCAGCATCTCGGATTCCAAATTGGGCCATAGTCCGCATCTTGCGTGTGACCCATGTCGCCAAAATCTTTCCTCTTTGTTTCTCGCCTAGTCGGGATCGCGGAAAGTCACCTTTGTTGACGAAGGCTACGATATCGACAATGATTTGATGCTCGTTGAGGATGGCATTTACTATGACAGGAACAATGGAGGCAAGGTAAGCCTTGCGTCCCACCTCAACCAGTACTACGATGAGGCCACCGGCCTGGAAAACCGCTCTGCAACAATGTCAGTGTGTCTCTATTGCAAAGGGGGGAATGACCTACGAGCCTCCAGGCATGATGTTGCGGTGACACTTCTCAATCGAACACTCGATGTCCATGGGGAAATGACTAAGGCCATTAATCTCAAATGTCTCTCCAATATTGCCCAGAACGAAGAGCACCTGCATGTCCACTTGCGCGCCGTTAGGTCCAATCGGCCTGCTCACATTGTGTAAGAATCCGAGATCACCAGTTCGGACGTATTGGATGTTGGGGTCACCGTCAGTGGTACGGCCGTCGAATCTTTCCGCATCAAACGGGTCCTTGGACCCGTAAAAAGATTTTACACAAGCCTCCGATTCAACCCAGATCTCACCGTACTCGCCTTCATGGCAGAGTGACCTGCTCTCCGGATTGACGATAGCAATCTGTGTTGAGACAGGTACCATTCCCGAATCTTGAAGGAGAAGCGCCTTTGGATCTGTTTCTGGGTCGACTGGATAGACCATACCTCGCCGCAATGCCTGTGTATCCAGCCACAATTCAATAGGCTCAATGCACATGTATGATCGCGATGCAACCATAGGATTGAGGACGTGAGAGTAAATGGTGTTGATGGCTGTGCGGTCAAGCCCGGTCTGAGCAAAGTGGAGACGAACTTTTTGGAACACATCAATACGAGGTCTCCCCTCGGCTGAAATCATCATGTTCTTCAACTCGTGCAAGAGGAAGCCTTTACCAGGCATAATGGCCATAGCGTGATCGAGCATCTGAGGTGTAGCGTAAGTATCCTTGATCTTGTATCTTGACAAAGTCAAGAAGAGAGAAATTGGGTTTTGCGCAAACTCGACAGGTGAAACCAGGTAGGTCGGTGCCCCGACGAAGGTACCCATAAGGCAGGTGTGGATGAACCCTAAACCCATCGTACTTCTGACACAGCCCAGGACCGGTCTCGAGCTCGTCATTTGACAGGTCTCTTTTTGCACCTTGCACATGCCCATGATGGTATCGTGGCCAATTTGAACTGCTATCCGACGCTGATCTGGGGTCCAGTACGTCCATACAAGGACTGGGTAACCTGATTGAACCCATGATGGCTGCATTGTCAAGCCGAGATCCCTACATCCACTATTTTGCTTCGGCGGCTTAGTCGTGTTATATACGCTAGGAACAGCTGTCTTCAAGGCTTGGGCTGATTGCTTGATATGCTGCGAGACTGGCTTTTGCTTGAGTAAGTGATCGACTTCTTGGTTGACCAAGACGGCTTTGACCGAATAATCAGCCACCATGTGAAGAAAAGCCGGGGCATCTTCACTCAGACGATTTTGGTCCAGAGGGGCCATTGGAATCGCCGTAGCCCCGAGGCAGAAGCATGCGTGCACCGCGTACACGAAATCTTCCGAGTGCGTATACATGAGTATCAAATGATCCCCAGATTTTACCTTCACTTTGTTCTTCAAATACATGGCGACAGCTGCAACCTTTGTGTCGAACTTTTTCCAGGTGATCCCTTTACCTTCCTTGCCTCTGCCGTCAATCGTGCAGTAGGACAACTCTTCTGCTTGTCGGGCTACCCGCCATTGTAGCAAGTCGACGATACTAGAGAAGTTGTTCAGAGGAGTGGAAGTGCGATCATCAATGACTACTTCCCGGCGGTCAATGCCGGAATATTGCTTGTCGCCTGGCGACAGAATATCTTCCCGAGTCTGCGAAGCAAGTGGTGACCAGATGCCACCAACAGGATCAACACCGATGGGGAGGTTCAAAACTGCTCTCTCAACTCCAAATTTCACGTGGACACAAGGGAGGTTGCCGAGGTCAAACTCGCGTCGACATAGCATGTTGCCAATTTCCTTTCGGCCATTCTTCAGTACCTTCGGGAGAGTGTTAGGCGCAGTAATCATTACGCAGTACACCCGAAGGTGATGTTCCTGCATCAGTATTTCCATGCACCTCTCCGATAGGGAGTCCAGGAGAGCGGTATCCAGCTGGCGAGGAGGCCCTCCAGATGCTGCCGGCGCTGTTGATGCCGATTGGGACTCCAGCAAGACTATGGGAAGATGTTCGTCGTTGACGAAGACGTCGAACGCAGAGCAGTCAAAAATCTTTGGCACGTTCTTCATAATGGTCACAATGAGGTGCTGCACGAAGAAGTAGCGATGCTCCGCTACTTCATGGCCATGCTCGACCCATTCAACCTTTTGACGAATCCGATCTTCATACAATCCCAGCACAAAGATCTTTCCTTCGATCACGGTGCCTAGAAGACCTGTTCTGAGAAATTCTGGTTCGACCATCATGGGCGTGGGATCGCCCTGCTCGAACTTGTAAGGCCGAGCGTGAAAGATCTGCTCTGTGTGCTTTGGCAATGCCCAAAAGCCTCCTGACAAAGATGGGGAATCGACCCATATTTCACCCACAGAATGGGGTGTCGCAAGTAGCCCAGTCTCGGGGTCCACAACTGCCATCGTAGCATCTGGTATGGGAAAGCCGAATGCGCCCACTCGTACTGTACCCGGCTCAGTGGCAGCTTTCTTTCGGGCCTCATCTCCAATAGCGACAACTACAACCTCGTTGGTTTTCAGAGCTTCCCGATCCAAGAGAACCTCGCTTAACTCTGTCCGTTCTTTTTGCTCAACTGTTGCCTTGTGGCCACCGCCGATGAGGCTACCGAACCCATTCGATGTGGATTTACCCTTTTCCTTCTCACCAGCCTTCTCCTCGATCGAATCGTCGTCCGATCCTATATCTAATTTCAAAGGGCAGCCCATTCGTTCCTCTCCACCAAGCCAATCTCTCATGCTTATGACCATACCTCCATGTTCTGGCAGACACAGCATTGGAGTTACTAGTTCCCGTGCTCGAGGATTTCGCATCGGGCGAAGCCATCTGTCCGCTAGTACTTCGTGGAATTCGCTATCAACTGTGAGTGCATCTATTAAGCACATTTTGACGTGCTGAAAGTTGGGCTCCATTGCTTTCTTGAAATTCCTGGTGGTCATGGGATCTTGTTGATAGTTGTAAGCTGCTCTCTTGAGCCCTGGATAATCTGCCAGCATCAATGTCGCCTTGTACTTAGTAATCAAGTGGGCGTACAGGCCAGGAGTCTCAACGGCCTTATTCTCCATCCAGACAGTGGTATGCCCGCCGTACACGGTCAGCAGAACGCCGAGGATCATGCCAATTCCTTGACGGGGATCAAGGTAAGACAACAGGATCTCGCTATTCTTGCTGGTACCGGCCATCAATCTACCGTTTTTGTCTCTAAGACTCGTATGAAATGTGTCCCCTGCGGCGCCTGTTGGCACAGTTGAGAATATGGCACTAAGGCAAGCCATCTGATGCATAATTGTGCGATGGCTCATAACCACTCCGCGTAGATCCCCAGTTGGCGCCCTCGAAAACTCGATATAAGCAAGATCCGGGACCGCTAATGCCGGGGCTTCGTCTTTCTTCTTTGGATGCCAGCTTCCGAACTCGTTGGTCTTCCACCATTCTACCCCCCTGGGCCAACTGAGTTTTTGTGTGGTGATGTCTCGCTGAAAAGCTTTCAAATTATTGTCGGTAGTCAGTGCAAGGTGTGCTTGTGTTGATGTCAAGATCACATTGAGTTTCGCATAGTCTTCCAAGTCATTGATGGGAACGGCCACGACGCCAGCAATAAAGCAGCCGAGGAGGGCAATGGCAAAATCAATAATCTCCGAATCACGGTAGATCAATGCAACTCGGTCTCCGCGATAGAGAGAGCTCTTATCCCTGATAACTTGAGCTACCTTTTCGGCTCGGCTTGTGAGCTTGTCCCACGTAATGGATGAAATCTCCTTTCCCCTGGCATCCAGAACCCAATACGCAGGGCACTTCCCTATTGTTCGAGCCCTGTGTCTCAGTACAGCACCAATATTGTCAAATTTGGACATTGGGGTATTTTTATCATGGGGATCGAATACGGCAAACGGAACATCTCGTGGCTCCAAAGGCATCTGGTATTCGAGCGCATCTGGGGGAGGCAGATCGCTCGCAGTCAACATCGGGGGAGCCATTGCGGCTGTTGGCGAAAAAGCGTCGCTGGATGAGTATCTTTGAGGCCCTCCACCGTAGGAATTGGTACGGCCATGCTCGTAAGCTTGTTGACCGGCGCTGGCAAAATCGGAAAAATAGCCTTGTTGCGACTCGCCCAGCATTGTACCATGCGAATCCATCATCGTCGCAGCTCGGCTTTGGTATGCATTTCCTGCTTGCGGCATGTATCCCGTCTGAAATGCAGGGTTGAATGCATAGTTTGCGCCTGACACGGTTGAAGTCATGGTCATTGTTGGCTCCGGGGAATTTCCTCCAAACATAGAGGCTGCAGGTAGAAATGTTTCGTTGCCGTAAGACGACATTCGTTGTGGTCCTGGGTTATGGACTCCGAGTTGTAGCTGTCTGGGAGGCGCAGTGTACCCCTCTTGCTGAGCTCGACTACTTGCAAAACTGCCAAAGTCGCTTGCCATTGTGTCCGACCCTCCAGCTGTATTCGACGTGGTAAGAGATTGCGAAGATTGGTTCGAATTCGCACTGAGGGCAGCCAGGGAGGCTTTGCGTGATCCATCGTTAGAGGGGTGAGCACTGTCATCAGGAGAGTGTATTCGCAGGCCCTTGATATCTGTAGCTACTGCTGAGCCCCCCAGGTATTGTGATAGCAAGAGTGTCCGCCGTTTCTGGTACCTGCACGCGTCGATCAGAAACCAAGGTCATAGACAACTGGACCAAAAAAATTGGTCTGTTGAAATCGGGGTATTAAAACTTGCCCTTTCTCAGTGATGTCTCCCTCCTGTGGGCAGTAGAAGTAAGTAAGAGTGCGCATATTTTTGCAAAGCTAGATATCCCATTCGAGTCCAAGCACTGTCTGTCGCACGACAAGACCCGAACAAGCACTTCTCTCTATCCATTGAAAACATTCGGACTGACCTCTAACTCATGCTCCAGCTGGTTCAGTTGCGTCTGAAGCTCTGGGGGGGCTCCGTTCATCTTGACGACTTTTCGGTATACTGTATACTGACTGGGTGGGGGGCAAGTCCGAAGTCCCCCTCACAAAGCTGCGGAAATCAAAAATTTGAGAAGCGTTGAGGGTACATGGGACCGGAGGATAAAAATGAAGATGAAGCTCTGGGATCGGGCGATCAAGATCGAGGCGGCGGTTTGTTTGCGCGACAAAGCTCAGGCATTATCGGAGCATCAGTATGACGACGATGCCTCTATTCATAGTTGGGGGCTTCAGGGCTTGCGTCTGGGGCTCGTTCGAGATCACGTGTCCACCAAGACGCGAAGTCCCAATCGAGCCAAGCCGACCCACAACGAGCAGAGCTTTCTTCTATAAATTCTTGTTTTTGTCGATTTCTCCTTCTCTGGTTCAACACAGAATCTCAACCTTACAACTTCACATCGTCACCATCGCAATGTCCTACCTTCCACCTTGAATTGGCTTGCCAGGCTTGCCAATCCCGTACGCTAATGGTATGTCTACTTCTCTCATAGACCTCCGGCGTCCCGTTACCGCCGCAAGATGATGAAAAATCATAAAGATTTTACAGACCTGTTCTGAGGACCCTACAGTCCTGTGCTGAATTCTTGGAGACCTTCTGATATTTGCGAAACCCACCTCACACTTGGTACTGCTTACCTGGTAGATGCGATTGCTAACCTGCTATCGAATTAGATGACACAGTAAATCTCCTGCAGCTGATTCACACATGATGAACCGGCCTCATGGGAAAGGGCTCAAATCTCCCAGAATTCTCGACTTCGATTGTGCGATTTGGTTTCGATGCCAGCTATCCTGGATGTCCTACTCACGTTTTTATTTGGAGGTCTTCTTAGTTATTATACCCTGTCATCATTTCCAATTACCTCGGTTCAGTAGCCCAATCCGGGGTACTGAATTTAGAAACAATGAAATTCAGTAACCGCGATTCGAAAGGAATGCTTCTAGCTGCCCTTGCCATCTGAGAATTTGTCTTTGTCCAATGTCCAGAATTTGTTCTTTCACATCCTTCTACCAATTTGCCATCTTCGACCTCGATAAGCCGCCAATGTCTTTGTTATCGAAGCCTTCAACAGCACAAAGAGGATATTGCCGTCGTACAGATTCTGAATATGTACATGTTGACACAATCCCAATTGTTTCCAAATTTTTGTTTTTCAAATTTTTTGCAATGCTCTTACGCCCTCGCTCATAAACAGCTATAGCCTCTTCCATACATATTGCTCAGTTTTGCTCCCCCACGGCTGGATCGTGTATGCCCAAGCGTGGCTTCTTCATCCACCCCCACCACATTCTCACAGCTGCGCTGCTAGGAAAAGATATCATGAATCACTCCAATGAACCTGCAAATTCTAGTGAGGGCAGGCAAGCAGACATGTCGAGTCAGGTCTCCCCAAGCCTTGACTTCGACTTCGACAAATTCCTGGCAGAGGAAACAGTCGAAACTGCAAACTACGGAAACCCCTCACATATCAGCCAATTCCCAGAACACAACGGCGTACCTCTAGACTACGATATATTACAATACAATGGATTCCCACAAGGAATCGACGATCAAGGTTGGTATGAGGATCTGTCACAAGCAGGTCCGGCTCCACGCATCGAGCATCAGCAAGAACAAGAGGATGCGAACTTTGATGATGTGGCAAGCAATTGGTGGGAGGCACAAGTACAGGGCGACTACCTAGCAACCCAACCCACCAACCACGGATCTTCCTCAGTTCCTATCAACATCTCAGCTCCAGTCGACGAAGGACTTTGGAATCCCCTCTCCGAAGATATAAAAGCGCACGTATATCCCTCATCCGCCCCGATCACGAGGCCCTCGTCAGTAGAAGCAGTCGGGCGGGACCATCTCGTACCTAACCCGGGGAACGGGGTCTTCCTCAACCCAATTCTGAACAACTTCACCTCACCGAGCACCCCTCTCGGCATCATCGATGCACATATGTTCCCGTTCGAGGCAGAACTCCAAGCGGCGCTCCAGCTCGAACTAGACAACCAGATCGAACTAGAAAAAACCCGGGAAATCGTTGCGGCTCTTGAGACGGAACTTAGTCGGCGTAAACAATCAGAAGAAGATCTGCTTGAGAAGCTGCAAAATGCCAAGTCGCTTCTTCCAGTGCCACCAACCCCTGCCCCAACACCAGCACCATCGGGAGAGGGTATCAAAACTCCAAAGAACAACCGCACCCATAACATCGCCAGCACGGATCCGACAAAGCACTACGACCCTCTGACAGAAACGCCAAAATCCTGGGGGACCGTCGCATTCGACACCGGTAGGCATATTTTTCGCTATACGAAATACGGCGAGCTAGATCCCAAACAAACGTTCGAGGTGAACCAGATCGCCGAGTTTCTCTCCCAGCATCCACTACCGAACAAGACACTCACCCTCTGGATCCAGACGGTACCTGCCGACAGCGCAGGCCGCTATGCAACGAAGACTTCTGACAAGTGCAGATTCTCAAACTGCCCAGACCCCAACCGAACGATCCGCAAAGGCGACTTCCGAGTCGCCTTCGATGAGGACTTCTCCAACCGCAAAAGAGACCCCTTTCATGTTGCCGGATACTGCCACCTCTTCTGCCTGGAAAAGAATTTCGACTTCCCGCAGATCTGTAAGGACTACGACGTGCGGCCCGACACGCGCGAGCTCCCAGAAGGCAAGAACAAGATGGCCATCACGCGAGACCACAAGAGCATGGCCGGTATCGTTACTAAGTTCATCAGGGAGTCCGTACCGTGGGCGGACGTAAAGGGTGGCCGGCCGGAGCAGTATTACGGAGAATCGCTGTGCTTCAAGCTGACGATGGAACATCTGGAGAAGCAGCCGCGCCATCTCCAGGGCATTCGCGAAGTGCGCGGCGGCAATACCATCGACAGACATAAGAACAATCTGGACGTATACGTCGAAAACCAGAGGAGGGTCAGGTTAGAGCAGTCTGCTGGTAAGAGGCCAGCAGAGAAGAGGCCAGCCGGGAAGAAGACGGCAGGGGAGAGACCAGCCAAGAGGTCGAAAGGCAAAGAAAAAGCCAAGCGTAACAGAGATGAGGAGGAAGGAGAAGAGTCCATTCTGGACGATGAAATCCTGCAGAGAGGTTTGAAGTCGCCGCACAAGGTCAAGAGACTCAGCATGTGGTTGGTCGACAGCAGCGCGAGCTCCAAGCGGAAGCTCGAGGCAGAGAGCGAGAGCGATGATGACAGTGATGGCGACGGCTTATCTAGGCGTCCCTTCAAGAGACTGAGAAGCGGACGCAGACTCTTTCCAGTCTAAGTTCTCACCCACCAACTGTCCGCCATCCTGGCAGACCTTGATTATATGGAATTGAGCGTATACTGTACTGTATCAACACAACAAACACATAACTGAGCTTAGCAGATTGCTACCTGACCCTTTTTTTCACTCTCCAGAAATCTTCGATTGCATATTTCTTGTGGCGGCTATTTAGGTTCCGAGAGCAAATACTCTCTTTTCTCTATACCATAAATAGATATATATACATAGAAAGGAATGAACCAACCATACGATCATTTCCAACCATCCCAATCTTGTTCATATTCTCAAAAATCGATTACTACTTACTCATAGCCCTAACCTCTTCCCTTTTTCAACCAACCCAAGCACGCACAAAACAACACAAACAGTATCGAGTTCGGGCCCACAACGAGATCTATAAGCTGACTTCCAACACCTCAACCCCAGCCAGTAGTACCTACCTACCCACCTACCTGATTGTTTTTTTTTCTTTTCAGCACTGTGTCCGACTATTCCTAGCTCAGATAACAAACAAACCTAGCCGAGTCTTCTCGGCCTTATATGTTTATAATGCGAGCCTCAAGTAAAACAGACAATGAAACAGACTATTTAGGAAGATAACTCACAGACAGGCAGTCATGGTCAGTTACTCAATTTTTCAATCATTTGACCTCTATCGTCACAGAGAACAAAAATGCCTAAATTTAAACGCCAAAAAGATTGTCTAAGACCAGGGATGATGTCTTAAAAATGGCCATGATTTGATACACAACAAATCTACTCTTCGGATGCATCATCGACAGTGGTTATCTACCTCACCTTATTTATGCGTTCCCTCCAGTAGGTGAGCAAAATCTCCGATGCTCATTTGATGAGCAATTCATTGACGCTGATCCCAAGAATCGATGTGTCTTCTTGTATTGTCCGTTCGCCTGACCTAATCACCAGCTACAGATATGTCCTACCTTTTCCCACTTAGAAAACCGTTACAGATCGATCAAAGGCTGTGCAGGAGGTGCCGCACGATCGTTATTCTGTGCGCCGTTGGTATCATTCTCTCTTTGTTCACTCGTTCTCTCTGCTCCTTCAACTTCTCGAGCCTCAGCTGCATCAGTATTTGCAGCATTTGCAGCAGCCTCTGCAGCAGCAATAGCCTCAGCTCGTCGAGCTTCAGCTGCGACAGCTTCGGCTTCTCGAGCTGCGATATGTCGTTCGCCAACACCTGGCACCAAACTAGCGAGGAACAACAAGAACGAGTGCTCTGCTCTTCTGATTTGCGCCACCAGCCACCCCCCTTGAGCTTGTCGGCGCTCCTCCATGATTCTTGCTGCAACCTCAGCCGGATCAAGTTCGCCTCGTCGACGCTGCTGTGCTGTTAAGACTCCTGCCGGAGGGTCCCTAGCAGGCTGAGGAATCGCAGCATTCGCAGCTGGTACTAAAGCAGCCTCAGGTCCTGCAAGTGGTATCAAGTTCTCTAGATGCCTTCGAATAGGTCCAAAAGCATCGTTGGCAACTCCGTTGAGTAGACCGGTATTGACGAGGAAAACGACGAGTCCCAGCGCACTGATCATGAACCACCTTGACCAGCTAGGATTCCCAGAGGTGAAAAACCAGACGAAAGCGACTAAACGAACTACTAGCCATAGAAGCGGACCGATTCGAGCACCTAGGGCCCCAGCGCCAGGATTGGCGTGTGGTGCGTTAGCAGCAGCTGGAGCAGCCGGAGCAGCCGGAGCAGCCGGAGCAACCGGGGCAGCCGGAGCAGCCGGACGAAGAGCTCGCGCTGGGTGAGCACCTCTGTTTCGGTATTCTGGAAGTATTGCTGGCCCACCAGGAGCTTGTCCTTGTCCTGGGACTTGCGTGGGGGGCGAGGGATGGCGCCTAGAAGGTAGAAGGGGAGTGAAATATGTCTCAGAATTATTAATGAGAACAGCTCGGGGACCTGACGGCGATGAAAGAAGGTAGACTATTGGCTGGGCCGAAGTTGAAGTTGAAGGCACAGGAAGCATAGCTGTCGCTTGTGGTGGCAGAGCAAGGTTTGTATTTGAGGATGGATTCAGAATGCCAGAGGACGAAGGAGAACTATTTGTAGTGGCTGGAGTCGCTGTTGTTCGAGAGGTTTCTGAAGCAGCTGCTGGGCCGGAGGCAGTCGAATGAGGATTCGGATTTGAGGCACTTCGCTGCATGTTATTTTGCCCGTTTTGAGCCAAAAGCCGATCAGCATTTCGTAATACAGCTTGTATTTCCATTGCTGGATTAGCGTGTGGAATAGGATGGTGGTAGTGATGATGGTGCGGTTGTTGTTGAGGTATGGGAAAGGTGGTTGTGGTCTCATTCACAGTAACAGACCATCTTTCTCCATTTGGGCCAACCCCTTCACGAGTGTATGTAGTTGTGGAATCTGGTCTATGAGCAATTGGACTGGCTCTACCTGAGGCTGTTGGGGGAAAGTGACCGGGCTGGCCGGGAACACCAGTATCCTGGGCACCCTGACGGCCGTCGGCTGCTCGTTCTCTTTGTTGCTGGTTGATCAAATGCTGTAGGGATCCTGGGGAAAACGCAGGCGGGCCTACAGGTCGGTGGAAGATACTTTGTGGAGGGATTCCGGGCGCAAAGGGAACCTGTGGCGTAATGCCTTGTCCAGCTTGACCTCGAGCCCTCTGCTCGGCAAGAAGCATTTCTTGATGCAAGAGCTGTGTCTCCCTTCGCAACTGGGCAAGTCTCTGTGCCATTGCACCCTGAACAGGGTCTGCCGCACCATGCTGTTGCATTGGATTCTGGAAGCCAGGGAAGGGCTGCTGAGCATGCATACCTTGCATAGCTTGCAATGGATTTACGGGCGCGGACTGGACGCGAGGTTGGAGATGTGGAAGTATAGGGACGCCCGTCGGATTCAGCTGGGGAGCATAAGTAGGTGTTGAGGTAGCAGGAGGTTGAGGTGAAGGCGAAGGGGCGTTTGGGACCTCAGGGCGGAGGACTAAGTGGAGAATTTGAGCTTCATGTCCAGCCAGCTACCCCAAAGTCAGCCAACTGCATCTTCTGTAACCCGCGTAGTACCTACGGTTTCCTGGCCGAAGACTTCAATCAAAGTCTCCGTCTCTCTGGCCAGCATGCGGCCACGATGGATCAAGCGCTGGCCGTCGTCCGGAGGCTTCGATGGCAAAACATCTCGAATCTTGGCCTTCAGCTGCTTCACAGTCGTACTCCCTGGGAGGTTGGGGAAGCTGAGGGGACTGGACACCCCTACAGAAGGAGACACAACTTGGAGTGTTACGCTCGAAGATTCTTCCTCCTTTGCTGGTGCAGCTGCTTGTGCGGGTTGGGTGGTATCCGCCATGTTGATATTCGAGCGTGGTAATAAAAATCCAGGTAGTTTTGGTTTGGTGTGAGGATAAAGGAAGGAGACTGGTCTTTCAGAGTCTTTCAGAAAAACATCGCAAAAAGATTACCCTGTAGGTATCTTCGTCGTCGAGTTCAATAATCGTATTGTCGAGAATGGTCTGATCTGGTAAAGTGATTCCGGGTACTTAATGATAGATGGTGTGTTGAGAATGCGGTGTCCAGACGGTTTGAACCTTGAGTTAGTAGGTGACACCTTGTCCAATCTTCGTATCCACAACACTGGGATGTTCAAACATAGCAGCGCAGCAATTCGCAGGAATAACCAGACGCGTTATTGAGCTCTTAAAAATTGCGGCAAATCAACCAGAATCTTGAGAGTTCAAGCTGGTGTTTAGATCAGTATGGTACTGTCGAACAATTCAAAGCCAGCGTCAACGTCAACGCCAACGCCTGATCTAATCGGCTTATTATCGGGCCTAAGGGCGGTGAGATGGGCAGAATGAATCGCGAGGCAACGTCAGCCCCGTCTATGAGGATCTTCAATCTGCAACTATCGATGGATTGCGAAGTGAGACTAGCAGCACAAGAACAATTGCGATTCCAGGCAGCTTATACTCGGCATGGCTTCCCAAGCAGCAGTACGAGGTGCTAGGGCTGGCATTTCCGCTCAATCCACGAGAAGAACCCCGTCCCCGCCTTCACAACTGCAGTCGCAATGCATGTGCCCTTGCCGTAACCCGCGAGCTTTCTCCTCATCAGCGCGGCCTTTCCGACAGCAAACAGATTACAAAGAGTCCTTTGGGACTCGTCTGCGAAAGGGCTTGAACGATACAAAAATAAAATGGTATCGAATACCTGTGGGCCTGGGGATCGGATTCCTAGGTCTCGGCCAACTATACAGAGTTCATGAGCGAGAGAACGCAAGACGGCGCAAAGAGGAGTGGGAAGATAATGGAGTAGTAAAGACATTCGGATCTGAAGGAGATAAGGAGGGAGGAGGCAGGCCCAAGAAGAGGGAGAGGATCAGGCCGACAGGGCCATGGTCTGTTTTAGCCCTCTATTACATCAAACAAAGCTGATAAGTACCAGGCAAGTTCAGGTTATGTCTACTCTGCCATTGAAGGCCATGTCCAGGTTATGGGGGAAGTTCAACGAACTCGAAATACCTTATTATCTACGTGTTCCTGGATTCAAGCTGTATTCTTATATATTCGGCGTCAAGTACGGCACACCCTGGTACATTTATCTGCCACATACTAAACATCATATATAGTCTTTCCGAAGTATCAGAGCCTGATCTTCATGTATACCCAAATCTCGCGTCTTTCTTTTACCGAACTCTGAAGCCGGGTGCTCGTCCACTCGACCCCAGACAGAACGCTCTCTTATCCCCGGCTGACGGCCGAGTCCTTCAATTTGGCGCAATCGAAAGTGGTGAAGTCGAACAGGTTAAGGGAATGACTTACAGTCTCGATGCTCTCCTTGGTAAAACCACTCCTGGGACTTCACCAAACCCATCTAATTCAAGTGCTATCTTCTCGCCCAAGTCCGATGCCAGCACAGCATCTCGCCGACGAGGTGACGAGGAGATCATCAAGCAGGACGAGGAGTTCGCATCTGTGAACGGAATATCATATACGCTCCCAAATCTGTTTTCCGGCAAGAACAAAAAGTCTGGAAAGAAGGCTGAAGATGCGTCGACAAAGTCTACTGCTTCTTCGGAAGCCGAGGTCCGTGCAGACTTGGCTTTAGGCGAGAAACCATGGTACTCTCTGCTCACGTCAGAAAATCGAACTTCACTCTACTATGTTGTTGTCTACCTTGCGCCCGGAGATTATCATCGTTTTCACTCGCCCTGTGCTTGGGTTGCTGAAAGGCGTCGCCATTTTGCGGGAGAGCTTTACAGCGTGTCCCCTTACCTCCAAAAGACTTTGCCCGGACTTTTCACTTTGAACGAAAGAGTCGTTCTTCTGGGGAGATGGCGATGGGGGTTCTTCTCGTACACTCCGGTTGGAGCTACGAACGTGGGCTCGATCAAGATCAACTTTGATAGAGAACTTCGAACAAACTCCTTGACCACGGACACCGCAGCAGACCGAGCAGCAGAGGAGGCAGCGAAGAACGGAGAATCATACACTGGCTTTGCAGAAGCTACATACGAAGCAGCAAGCCCAATTCTTCACGGACATGCTTTGAAGCGAGGTGAAGAAATGGGAGGCTTCCAACTCGGGAGCACGATTGTACTGGTATTTGAAGCGCCAAAGGGACAAAGACCAAGTCTTGACGAAGGCTGGATGGGCGAAAAGACGAAGAGAAAAGGTGGGTGGAACTGGGCTGTTGAGAAGGGACAGAAGGTCAAGATGGGTCAGGCTCTAGGATGGGTTGACGAGTCATGACGTACTAAGTGTGGGTTGTATAAACGGGCACAACGTATAGAAAGCTGTAGAAAAGTCCCGTCTTAATCACGTCTTTTTCTCCATACTTTGGCATTCCAGTAATGACCAGCAAGGTTATCGAAAGGGAAGAAACAGCCCGGCCGTGTCTTGTTGACAATGCCATTGGTCAGCCTTGTTCGGACAGCACACCTTTGATGCTTTCCTATATCTGACATCAACACCTAATAGCAAGCTGCGTGAGTTGTGATCCTCGCTCACCATATCCACGACAGCAATTTCTGGACGCGAATGGAGACCGATGGATGACTGCGCGTGGAGAAAAAGTCCGCTGAGTTAGGGATCACGCATCTGCCGATTCCCACGATCTTTCATCTGGATCCAAGACATAGATAGATAGATATAGATGGATTGTTAAAGTGTATTTCCATAGCGGAGAGACAGTAGGATGTGCGAGAGAAGGTGGGGAGGGGGGTTGGTTGTAGGCAGGGAGTTGAGTAAGCAGCAGAGAAAGAAGAGGCAAAAGGAGACTGAACAACTAACCGCGTTGCCTCCCGATGAGTACCGAGTCGTCCGTCGAAATCTCTCAAATATGGTACAGTAGTCCACGAGTGATATCGGCCACTTTCACATTCAGCTCCACCACTTCTGTCATGACTGATGTCCATAGCGTGCCAATTGTGCGTTCAAGCCTTGAGTCCCACCATAGTGATGTCTGTCGACGAGATGCATTGCTTGTCCAAGGAGTTGATGTGGAATGATGAAGTTCCACTCACTCTTTGTCACTCGTCGGTTGAGAGCTTTGAGGCTTGGTTCTGCAGGCCCGAATCTATAAGGCGCATGACTTGGCGCTGATTGATTGCTGGGAAGATTGCTAGCCTGATGTCCACAGATGAACAAGGTAAGGATACAGGAAAGGGTAAAAAAAAAATATAAGAAATCTGGGATTGGGAAGACAGATTCGGTTTACGATTTGGGGTTCGAAAACCCGAGCTTAAAAGATGATAACAGAGCCGAAAGCGAAGCGAGAGCATTTTTCTAACCCGCTCAACAAGTCTGCGCTGTAGCTTGGACCTTGGAAATTACACCTTACACCACCTGAAGTAAAATTCTAGGACACATGAACGTTCTCATAAATCATGAGCAGCATCAGGAGATTGCATTAGTCCTAGAACATTTCCAAGTTCTTTCTAGGTCTCAACCGAAGGACCAGCGGCATCTATTTTCCCGACTAAGTCGGCAGCAACTCTCAGGTTCTCTGCACCGCTCAAGGCCTTGACCACCATTGTCTCCCTACGTTCCCCGACAATGCGCCCTAAGGCGCTTACCAGAAATCCAGACACCAGATCCACCGACCACGTATCTGGTATGAGGCTGAGAACGTGCTCAATATCAAACCATCCACCAAACCTTTCAAGTAGATTGCTTGTTTGTTCGACGCGATTACTAACATCTTTAATTTGCAAAAACTCCGATAGCAAGAAGCCAAAGAGCTCGGCTTGTTGGTCCCGGGTTGGAAGGGTTTCTCGTGTCATTGTCCCCGATACAGGGTGATAGATGCTAGACCCGCCAAGGAGACAATAGTTCAGGGCCGTATCGTAGTCTCCGAGGCCATGTGTTAATAATCTCAGAGCCTCCCCGTGATGCGATTGTCTGCCGTCAAGAATAATCACCTCAGGGACAAGCTCTTTCGTATAGGGCGCAATTCGTGCCAAAATAGCAGCCACATCGTACTGCGATGCGGACCCCTGGCTACCTCCGAGAAGCTGGAGTAGTCGCAGCCGACTATGCCACCATTCCTCGTCTATGGTATTGTCCGTAATGAACTGCCGATACGTAGGTTTGGGGGAACGCAGGGCTCGATAGGACTCATATGTCTGCGCTAGCGTTCTTCTTGCTTCTTCCGATTCCTCCAATTTGGTTGTGACAATGTCCAAGTAGTATGCTATGAGCTCATTGATATACTCTGCATGATTCTTGCTGAAGACCAGGTACTCGAGATAGTCCTTGACAGCCCCCGGGGCATCTTCTCGCAGTATTGCAAGGACTTGAGTAGGCTCAAACTTGACTTGGCTCCGATCTTCGGCGAAGACTTGGACACCAAGTTTCGGGTTCCGGGTGGCTAGCCAGACTCCATATTCCTCTACTAATGCCGGATTCCGGATCTTAGTGAGATAATCTCGGACCTTTTGCTCGCCCTCTCGGAATTCTCCTCCATCGTCTGGTTCGCCTTCGACAATGCGCCGCCAGGTAGCAAGTACCTCTCCCGCCATTTTGCGGCTCTGATAAAGACGACTGAGGACGTACAAACGGCGATGAGATTCAAGAAGGGCTATGGCTCTTTCGAAACAGTCTACTCCTTTGTCGACCAATTCATAGAGCTCCAATCTCACTGACTTGCTCTTTGGGGGACCGGGAGGACTGCCTCGATCCAGTTGGAGTAGGACAATCAGCAGTGCCGCATCGACGCTTCTGAACAATTCATTTTCGCTTGCGATACTCCCAAAGCCCTTCTTTTTCCTCCAAGCTGCTAAGATCCTCCTTAGAAAGTTCAAAATATGATCTGACATGTCACTCTTCTTTGCAGCATCCGTGTGTTCGGCTATGCTGTTCGTGACGAAGCTATCCGCAACATCTTTGACCCCACCGTGAATCCATATTCCCTTGGGACCTTCCACAATCTCGTTTCGCAGATATGGAATGACGGCGAGGATAACTCGAGGATCAAGACCCCCCTCGAGCAGAGCGTCTTCGCATATGCGGTACTCGGGCTGGGATGGCGGTGGTGCTAGGGCATCCAGACCGCTCATAAATAGCAACAGCCCAACACGCTGCCTAATATACCCGAGACTCAGGAATTCAGTCTCCGTTTTCGCATTACGTCCTCGGATAGAGTTAACGACTTCAATTAGCTTCCTGCGGTCCAGCGAGAGGTATGTCTGGTCTTCCCGTATCTTGCTGTGTGTCATGTCTGAGATACTGGCATCCAACCTTAAAGCCAGAGGATTCCGGACAGCCCACCACACACTCTTTCCAGCCCAAGCAACCACACGTGTTCGGGCGAGTCCCAGACGCTGGGCGAGCTGGTATTCCTCTGCGTTACGGTGGTCCTCTTCTTCCAGAGAAAGACCATCGCCGCTTTCAGGGAGTTCTGGTTCACCAGAGACACGTTCTAGTGCCATCGTTTTTTTAGAATCGACACTGTGGAGAGAGAGTATAGAGGCATCCATAGATCTTGAAGCAAAAGGCCGAAAGCGTTGTAAACGCAGCCTGTTGACCACTTCCTCGAAGTAAACATCTCCGACATCTACAACGGACCGGAGACCTATCCTGGCGGCTTCACTACTGTTTTGTGACCTCTGAGGTACAGGACTTTCCAGCCAATGTTTTTCGGACTCTCTCTCACCCGGGTCCAAATCCCAGCGTTGAATCTCAACACCGTGGCGTGATTCTTCGCCGAAATCACGAACCATAGATGCAAGTACATATCCCTCTTCCTCGTCTTCAATGGTGGTTGGGGTTAGATCCACGCCGACGCCTCTACCATCAACGACAAGGTCTTCGGGATACTTTTCAAATTCCAAAGTAGACCGCGTAGGATCTCCTTCAAGATTGACGAACATCCCAACACCTGGATCATGAGGCCCAGTACCAGTCACTAACAGAAATTCTTGAGGAGTAGGGGAAACTACGTGAGGCTTAAGCAATACAGCAATAGGAGGCGCAGGAGGGAGAGTTGGATTTTGCTCTGCGGAGTCCGATTCGGCGGGTGGAGGTGGTGGAAGAGGCTTGTTGGCCTCACTAGGTTCTCGAGCCGGTGGAGGCGAAGGTTCTCGAAAGATGCCTTCTGGTGTTTCTCTACCTGTACGGTTACCACTTGCACCTTGCTGCCCAGGTCGTCTATTCCCACCAGTGATGAATGCACCCAGGCTTGTGCTGCGCCCATGTCCCCGGTCATCTGTGGATGCGGGGGTATGTCTTTGAGAAGAAGAATTACTCCTTGATATGCCACCAGCAGTGCTCCCAGATATATCCTCAACGTGGCCACCTGCACTGCCAGACTGTGACTCGTCTAGTGATGAAATAGGAAACAAGGGTATCTTAAGTAGTCGATCGACGTCGAGAAGCGCATATGAGTGGCTATCAGCAACACATGCAAATGAATCTCGCCGGACAGATGTCACACTGGCTGCAAAATCGATTGTCTAACAATGAAATCAGTAGGATCTTGCCAGTTGTTTGGATATACACTCACCCTAAGCTTACGGGGATTTTCGCTAATTTTGATAACCTGTATCTTCTTGGTCAAAGAGGCCAGGACTGTGACAGAAGGATTCTGGACATCCTGCCCACTGCCACCAAGATCCACATTCAAATCTATGCCACCAATCCAGTTGCAAGGCCGTATCTGTGTGGTTCCAAAGACCGGACTCAGCTCTGGTAGAGAGTAGAATGTCACTGTCCAATTACACAATATACAAGCCTTGTTCACTCTCGGGAGGAGCAGGATCTGTTGCACGCCTGGCCTCGACCCGGAGGACGGTTCATGGAATGCGGGGGGCAGCCTCGATGCTAATATGTACGAGGGCTTCCTGGAGAGGTCTTCGGGATCGGGGGGTATTTGTACAAAGTGGAGGATTTCGGAGGCAGATGTCCCAACGTAGAGATTCTGTTCTACGCAGCATCAGATAGAGCCAAACAAAAGCGTGCTCGATACACATACCTAGAAACTCCACACAGTTTATCACGATGTCATCTCGGTCCCCTTCCGCAGACATCGGTATATCCTCTAGCAAGGCGCGCAGTACGAACGGTCCGGTTTCTGCGCCCACCCGCCTCTCCTCCTCCAGGGCGGCCTGTTCCGGATCTTTAGAATCCATGTTTATTGAGCCTGCGCTCGACTGACAATCATCGCATGGCCATACGAGATTGTGCACTGCTCTAAAAGTTGCACAGAGGATTGTTGATGATTGTGAGCTTGATACCCGCAAGGCAGAGAAGGCTGGGGTTCCACGCTGACCCCTGCATCCTGCGGCCTAACTTCGGCGCCAACCTGCAGTAAGCGAAGAACCGAAAGGGATTTTGTTTACTTGACACTCCATCAAAGGCGGCATCTTAATCTTACATATGTCTTGATCAATAGGTCCGAGATTTTGATTGTGAATCTATCGGTGCATTTACTGGCCTCTTTTTAAATATAAATAAGGTCCGTCAGACCAGAAAGTCGTTAACAATATCCAAATCATCGCCCCTTCAATTGCGGCTTCTCTCAAATGTATCAATGATCTCGCATCTCAATGTAGCCAACCAGTCAGTATACTTCGGATCTTTGCCCATTTCTTGGCTGAGCCATAGGGATACTTCTGTTGTGGGCGAACAGAAACAACAGTCCATACCTTTTCGCGTCCTCACCAGAGCTCGCCTCGAATGGTGCTTCGATAAGACTGTTGATTTCGTGTCCGTCCTTCTTTGAGATTGTCCGAATGGCTTTCTGTATGGCTTCGGTGTGCTTAGCTGGCGAGAGATCAGATGTAGCGAGCTGGTGTTGATCTTTCATCTCGCTTTGGGACCTGTACTCGGAGTCCGGCTCCCCAAACAAGTGGTCTTCATAGTATGACTTGAACTTGATGCACATAAATCCCTAGATTCTATTTACGATTAGGGCGGGCTTATACCAGCGGAACAGCCACTCTTCGTATATCTCCGGGTTGTCAATGGCGGGCGTCTGGCTTTGTTAATCAAGACAAGTGCAATGCATACAATCTTGACTTACCCAGAATCAGACGAGCTGGCTGAAGCTGTGGGATTGACTGATGAAATAATTTGGCAATCGCTATATTTTGCGAAGCGTACTACTCTCTTTCGGGATTTAAAGACGAGTATTACACCACTGGCAACATCCGAGTCTCGGCGGGCAAAATGTAGCATCTCTGCAGCTCTCTTACTCTTTCCCCTTCCTCGTTGCTAGCTCTGCCGAGATTTGCTTCCACTATTCCGGCCTTTTCGATGCTTCGGAGGAGATGAGGAAGAAGTGTAATCAAGTTCTTGAATTCCGCCGCTTGCTCTGCGTTGAGAGAGTGTCTAAGTTATTTTAGTATCCACTAAGCTAAATATATGTGTGTAGGCATATTTTTTTGTTTTTGTTTTTGTTTTTGAGAATTACTTGCCACTCAGACTCTTCACGGTCATATCACGTATCATACGACACCGAAGAGTCAGTGGTTGCCTGCTTGAGAATGTTTCGGGGTGGTGTGAGGCAGTCGGAAATGGGAAATCGTGGTCTCGCAAATGATGTCCCGTCACGATATCAACCAGATCAATGAGTTTATCTCTCGTATCGTCGAAGCTCTTCAGGTTATCTATGAGCTTCCTCTCGGCCCCTAACGCCATTGTGATGCAGTAAGCGATATAGTGGCATATGAATTCTCAAGTCTACGGTCGTGTATTTGGCGAAAGTTAATGGAGTCTCCAGGGCTCGGCGTGATTGCAACTGCCATTGCGGTAGGAACGCCTCATCTGGGTATGGAAAGCTCTGGTATATGTTAAGCCTTCTTCAGCCGCGTTATTCTGTAGGTAATATCAAATCGTGGACGAATAGTTGTATAAGTTGTAATATGATGTTGATGCTCAGTCCGGGGAAATCGTATTTAGACAGGGTTTCGGATCGGATCTGTGCGGACGACACCCCGGTGAGGCCTGTTGTGCCTGAGAACACGAATCTTCAAACACAACACCAACGACTACCCAATCGCTCTCGCAACATCGCAAATTCGACGACATCCATACCAGCTACTTCTGATGATTACCTGCTGAGCCTGAATCTGACATGGCCGACCTCGCAGATGCGGCGCTCGCGGAGGCTACGAACCCGTCCCCGGCAGGCGATGCCCATGGAGCTCCAGGCCACGACGACGACAACAAGTTCCAAAAGGCGATATCAGCATGGCGCAGTGAGTTTTTATCTCTGTCAAACCTTGTTCACTGCTGATCTCTACAGATATCAACCTCACAACGATGATCCCGTCCCTGGACAATACGGCATCAGAAATTGTTCAGTACCAGCGAGATTCTACAGTTCAACGGAAGGATCTGGCCCAAAAGACAAAGGAATTCAGGAAGCTTGATGATTCTGCGAAACTGGGAGAGGTTAAGGGTTTATTGAAAGGTTGGTATTGGTTCAGAGGGATCCTATCCACATGGCTCACCAGTCGTTTCAGCTTACCAGATCTTCATCGACCTTCTAACCAATCACTCTAAATCGACCAACTCGGCATTCTTGCAAGTGTATTCATCACTTTCCGAAGCGCCGGATCCATATCCATTACTCGAGGCCTCCGTTGATTCGCTTCTGCTTTCCGAAGATACCCTTCCCAAAGTCACCTTGGAGAATGAAAATCTTCAGAAGAGTGTCAGCAAGCTCACATCACAGCTTGAAGATACCGAATCAAGATTGGAGACTGAACGGACTTTGCGAAAGAGTTTGGAGGAAGGGTTAGAAACAAAAGTAAAAGAAGTCGAGACATCGTGGGCAGCTGTATTGGAAGAGAAGAAGGACAACTGGGAGGCCAAGGAGAAGCTATTGGAGGAGAAAATCGAAAATCAAGACCGACTTTTGAATGAAATTAAGGCTAGCTACGAAGTAACACAGCGACTTGGGCAGTCCGAAACGGAGAGTGCGGACGGACGAGGCAACGTTACCAGTGCGGAATTGGAGATGGTACATTCAGACCTCGAGCGTACCAGCGTACGACTAGCAGAGGTCGAAGCCCGGAACGAGCAACTGAGGATTGAGCTCGCGCAATCAGCATCGCAAGTACCAAGCCAGCCAGCATCAAATCCAGAGGATGATCCTTCTTTCATGCGAATGCGATCCGAGAACTCCTCCCTCTTGCGGAAGCTTGATGCTGCCCGAGTGGAAAGAGATTCTAGGAAGCGAGAACTTGATGGGAAGCTTCGTTCACTCGAGAGAGAAATTGGCATGCTGAAGGAGGAGCGTGATACACTCGTCGCCAAAGTAAAGAAATGGAGTGATTACGAAGACGTCAAACAAGAGTTGGAGGTACTGAAGAGTATAGAATTCTCAACTGGCGATGACGATGACGCCGATCTTGGGGATTCTGCGCCAAATGCTTTGCAGTCCGGCGTAGAGAATGGATCTGGTGCTAAAGGGAAAGGAGATACTCTGGAACAGCTTTTGCTTGCTCGAAACAAGAAGTTGAGTGATGAATTGACAGTCCTAAGGGTTTCACATCAAGACCTGCAGGCCCGGTTACAATCTATGCAGGAGGACTCGTCCAAAACAAATTCGGAGCTCGAACGGGCACAGCAATTAGTTTCTACTCTGGAAAACGATCTCGCCAATGTTCACGATTCTGCAAATGCGTATCCATCTGGTGCATCGGTTGCTGGAACATACGCAAGTAGATATCCTCAATCGTCAGCTAACTTTGCCCGCAAGGGCAAGGTTTCGCCTACTTCATCTATAATATCTGGTTTCGATCCAAGATCACAGGCATCGCTGGGCACGACCTCTCTGGAAGCTTTGAGGTCAGGCGAGCCTGTTGGAGGAGGTTCTGGTATATTGCCAATGATTACGGCGCAGCGGGATCGGTTCAAGAAAAGAAATACGCAGCTTGAGAATGAGCTCTCGGAAAGTCATCGTGCGGTTTCCTCGTTGCGACAGGAAATAGCGTCTTTGCAGAAGGACAATCTCAATTTATATGAAAAGACAAGATATGTATCAACATACAACAGGGCTGGACCGACGGCCTCATCAGCATCTTCGTATGCAACAAATCCCAACCCTTCCATGATACAGATGTCCAGCTCAACATCCTCTGGGCTTGCCTTGGATCGATATCGCTCAGCGTACGAATCAAACATATCCCCCTTCGCAGCTTTCCGAGGACGAGAGTCCGCTCGTGCATATAAGCGTATGAGTCTTCCGGAACGAATCGTTTTCTCGATTACGAGGATGGTTTTGGCTACTAGAACAAGTCGCAACCTTTTTGCAGGATATTGCTTAGCGTTGCATCTTGTCGTCTTCTGTTCATTGTATTGGTTGGGGACAGGCTCCGCAGACGGCTCACAGCTCGGCGCTGCCGTAGCAGCAGCGGCGGCTGGGCCTGTAGCCGCAAACTCTGCTGGAGATTCGACAGACAGTGATTGGCATCAGGCAGGGTTCAACGAAGATAAGTCATGAGGGATGTGAGATAGTGTATGATGTGCAATTGTAGAATGACTTGTCCGAAACCATTGATCTTTTCCCCGATTCAAGCTGGCTTTTGAGACCACCCCCTTTGTGTTGGCTGTCCTTGAAGCTAGGGACGAGTGCACACAGCAACCCGTTCGCCCAGCTACTCCCAGTGTCTACATCCTGATCAGATTTGAGAGGATAATCTCCTGATTATCTCCCATGCAGTTATGCGAACAGCTGTTGACTCGAGCCGGGCAATTGTAGTCATCAACACCGTTCTCTAGAGACTGAAAGTCCAGAAACCATGTTGAGGGATCCTCGATCAGCCTGGATAAAACAAAACATGGACTTTCTCTCATTGGCCGGCGGGGAGCCATGCCGCGCCGTCCAAAAATACAAGCGCCGACACCCCTGCTACTGTGAATTCAGTACCTTTCGCCCGAGGTGTCACCTCGCCAATTATTCCACCAATCTCTCACCCTCAACCGCGGTTACCGACCTCTTGGAAGCATCGGAATATTTGAACACAGCCAGGCCTGTACGCCATCCCGTCTCCAACCGCCGGGAGCGTCTCTGCAAGGAATGCCTAGAGCCCTTGGTTCGAACCTCGCGGTTAAGGGAATCCGGAGAAAGTCATGCAGACGCTATCTTACCGATCTGGATCTGGGTAAGACCAAGCAAGCTGCCAGCGTACCCTTCACCGGTGGTACTCGAGATTGTCCGTCCGATCTTGCAACTGCTCGGAAGATGGGGCTCAGGCGGGCTGACAGATTCTGTACTTGGATTCTGACTCTGGAAAATAGAAGCCCTATATCCAAGCTCTATTCTAAGACGGATATATCATTCACATCGCCAATGGGATAGAGTAGACTGTATGGCTGATGCGACATCCCGGGAACTTTGAATTTACGACGAGATGATGAGTACGAAATCTACAAGAAGTCAAGAGCGTGCCATGCTCGGCGGCTGCAGGACATGAATTCGAGACGCGAAGCGTTTTCCTTGTCTGAGAGACGTACCTTCTGCTGTACCTCCTGCTGTACTCGAGTACCCCTCTTCTTTCCTGCAGCAAAAGGTCTCTTGTTCCGCGACCAGGGCTTCAAGATAGGCTCCCTGGATCTCGGCTAGGGTATGATAGGCCTAAGGTGCTTCTCGCTAACGAGCCGGAGTAAACAGCACGAATGAGCGGCTATGGGCGGTCACCCGTTTTTAGAATACAGTACATAGCGCGTACATGGGGGTTGCCGCTTCTAGGATGAGAAGTAATGCAGCAGGTCAACCAAGCTTCTGCATTCTAAAAACGGAACAGCATTCTTGACATTGGACATGAACAACCATTTTATAAGACCGTTGTCGAACCCCCCCAGGTACGCCTCTTTCTATTCTTTGCATCTTTGCGCAACATACCCCGAACTACCCCTACCTTTCAATCCATACAATCTATATATCTGATCGATCGATCGATCGCTCATCAACACCCGTTGCGCCTTGTCTCTGTCTTCTTCGGACCGACCTCTCCCTTCCCACGCCCTCCTCAGCCGGTCTCCCCCTCTAATATCACGATCATCCCTCCACCTTCACCTATCAACATGATCTTTCAAATATGGGTCGTTTCTGTGTTGTGCGCTGGTGCACTCGCAGCTCCAAGACTCGCCAACTCCGCTGGATCGGCCGAAAAAGCGGCCGACATGAATATCCTGGCCGAGTACTTTCACATGTTAGGAAAGAAGGTACAAGCTGGAAAGCATATGGCAAGGGCACCGGCGTGCGATCTTCAAAACGCCGTTTTGCCAGTTTCGACAACGCAACCCCTACCGGCCGTGACTGAAGGACTGATCTTGAAGCACGTGGCGGTAGGACGAGGAACTCAGAACTATACCTGCGATACCACGAACGCAACCGCGATCCCGGAAGCAGCCGGCGCCGTGGCTACACTTTACAACACCTCCTGTCTAGCATCTTCCTTCCCCGATCTCCTCGCCAAGATACCAGAGGTCTCGCTCCAATTCAACCTCACGGATGCCAACCAGAAGTTTCTCTCGCCATGCAACCTCGAGATCTCTGGCCACCACTACTTCTCTAACGGGACCACACCCGAATTCGACTTGAACAGCGCCGGGTTGGGCCTCGGGTTCGCGCCGTGTCAGAAAGAAGCTGGCGTCCCTGCTCCTGCCGACACCACGCTGGGGCAAGGCAACGTGGGCTTCGGCACTGTCCCATGGCTCAAACTGACTACCAGAGATGGGGCCACTGGTGGTCTGGAGGAAGTCTACCGCGTTAACACTGCGGGGGGGAACCCACCCCCAACGTGCGCTGGCATGCCCGCGACATTCGAGGTTCAATACGCCACTGAGTACGTCGTACCCCCCCCCCCCCCCCGACTC